CTGATAACGGCTTTGTGACCCAATTTTGGGTCCCGGCCCACCAGTTGAGAACCACTAATTTAGATTTGTATCACAGAATAATCCCAGCCCTGCCTGTGGTTTGATCTCGGGAGTTTTTATTTTTATTTTTATGGCTTCAGCTACAGCGACAGCTCTTCATCAGATGAGCTGCATACGATAAAAACCTCCTTCAGGAAGGAAATCATTTAGCAGACCGAGTCCCAAGACCCCACGGTGTGTTTTATGAGCACGGACAGGGACGGGACCGGGGAGTCGATGAAACCCATAAAGATGCATGAGTGTGGTCACAGGTCACTCAGATATTACATAAAGAGACTTTTAGTGTCCAGAGAGGAAGCAGGGCGGAGCAGAATCCGAATAAAAGCTCTCCGAGGGTTTGAATCCCCGCCTTGTGTTCTTCACGGCCCCTCTTTCTCATCGCACACGACGTCAGGACGGATACGATTTCATGGCGACTTTGAGAAACGCTTCTTCGTGGGGGAATCTCTGCATCTGGATCGTGTTAGAGAGGATTTCTGTTGATCCTGCATGGAGAACAAGACAAGACTCCAACATCCGCCTGCTGCGTGAAGCAGACTCCACTGAAGGCTCAGACTGTGTCCTACACCTGCACGCTTTAGAAAAGATCTCATAGTAACAACTTGTGAAAATGCAAATCCCTGAAAGTTTCTTTTGTGACCTCACAGCTGCTGAAAACAGACATGTTTTATCGTGGAGAATAGCATCAATTCATCACCACTGGATCACAATGAAAAGAACAGAGCAAAGCCTGTCTCCTATAGAGGCTATAGTCACTTCCCCACTGATACACGCCCCCGCTCTCGCGCTGAGTGGCAGAGCAGTCTTAAACATGGCTGCCTTCGGGGGTTATGACACAAACTAGAGAAAAACAGAGACGCATCTCTGCTTGAATTTAGGAGATCTGGACCGAACTGAGAAACCTACAATTTATTAAATGTGTGCCAACATGAGGCCGGAAAAACAATTTCCTAACATGCAGGAAATGATCATGTTCTTTTGTAAATTCATATATTTATTTTACCATTTGATAAACTGTCATTGTTCCGGTTTAGTTATATTTGAAAATAACACTACTGTAAGTGCACCTTGTAAACTTTGACAATGATGCACCTTATTACAGCAGTATTGGTCGGATACTTTCACTGATGACCGGGCCGGTTAGCATGAAAGAAGGAATCAGCAAGATCTGCAGTGAGTGAAATGATAAAGTGATCTTACTATCTGATCAGACATTAAGGAAACATGCTCTGTTGAAGTGCTGGCTTCTCTGACAACAATGCAGCAGCCAGTATGTCCTCCTTCTAACTTTAGATTCTGCTCCTGAATGCTCTGGATTTGTTTGGACCAGAGAAGGTAGGTGGTTTTAAGACACCCCCACACGCGGCCGTTTTAATCACTAGGTGTCAGAGCTACATACTGCTCCTTTAAGTTGGGCAGGAAGAAATATAATGTGGGCAACTTTAAGGACTTTTGGACCAACCAAAACTTGATCTGATGTGTTTGGAAGCTGTGCCCTCATCATTCATTTATGATGATCGGCTGGAAAATCAGAAAACACACACACACACACACACACACACACACACACACACACACACACACACACACACACACACACACACACACATCCTGCATGACACACATGCTCCCTGCATTAAACACACATCACACACACGCTCGCTGCATCACGAAGCATGACCGCCATCTGTAACCCATTGCACTTGTTCATTATAGGGGTGAACCTTGTGGAAAATACTTCACAACACACAGGAATGTAAACAGCAGACAGAGGAACTCCCCTCTGAGCACAGAGAGCATGTTGTGTTGGTTCTTATCAGTCAGGAGGCTTCATTACATCTCATCCGGGAAACAGCTCTCCCATTAAACCCAGTCCCATGACACCAGCAGTTATAGAAACAGGCCGAGCATGGAGTTCACACAGGATCATTTAAACACGTGTTTTAAATATATTGTAAGTGAGGTTTCTCTTCTTTCACTGCGATATGTAAAAGTGATATAAAATATTGAATTGACTGAGATGGTGGCTGGTAAGAGCAACTGACCAACAACGGCAGAAACGACTTACATTAAGAAAAAACATTCAGCAAACTGAGAATCAATATTAATTCAAAGCAAAAAAAAAAGTCAGGGGAATAAAGGCAACAACTGAAATGTGCATCTGTGTAATAAGATTACCCATGTACGCTCGAGCCCAGAGTCTGGTTCATGTGATCAATGTGAACACGTACTCGGGCCTGAAGTGGGGGTATCGGGCACGATTCACGCGTACTCGAGTACGGTCTGCGGGAGATGTGAACGCAATCGGGCTCAAACAAAGAAGTGGACCGCTATGTGACGTAATTCTTAACGGCTCCTGATGCTTAAAAACCATCATATACGCCTATAACGGGCCCATTTCATCCTCTGAGCTGCACGGTAGATGTGGAAGTAGGAAGAGGGCCGCTGTTGGCTTCTCAGAAATAACAAAAACATCCACAGCTAGAAGGACGGACTCAGCGAGTGGTTGCCCTGGTTACTGCTACTTCTTTCTGCAGTCCAAAAACACCTATATGTTCTGAGGACTTTAATTTTGTCGCCATGGTATAAAAGCACAAAATGATATTGTTTGAGTTTTACTTAAAATGTAAAACAGTTTAAGATTCTGGTCACCTGCCTACCCTAGCTCCCATTGATATTCAGTCTTTATTTGAAGGGATGATGACCCAAAGATCCTCTATGCTGCATATTTTCTGTGCTTTGCAACGGCTGCAGGGAGTAAAAATAACTGAACCTAAGCACATGAATACGTTTGTTGTTTTTAGGATGTCTGTGGCCATTCTTAAAATGTTGTAAAATCCATTAAATATCTGTTTTCCGGAGTTCTTTGAGCATGGGTTTAATATCCTGTATGCCCACTTGTTCGTCATTTATCATCTCGGCATGCTGCTGCAGCTCAATATGTCCTCACGCTGAAAGTGAGCAGGTGGGAAAACTATGTGGAGTGCCAGCAAATGAAGTCTAATGCACGGAAAGAAATACATTAAGAGCCTGTGGTGGGTTTTAATGTTCTATCCTCTCTGGGCTGTTATGCAACACTAGAACTGACCCTGCTGTGTTTGATGTTGTATGTTTTTTAAAGTGGAATATAAGTTCCATGTGCTGCAATAAAAATGTTGCGAGAAACATTTTTGAATAACGGGCTGGAGTATCCTGCAGACGGATCAGAACACTGAACTCCTTGTTGCAGAAAGCTGAAATGACGACTGCTGTTTGAAGCTTTGTATTTTTATGTTGCAGTTGTGTTTCACTTTGGGCTCTATGCAGCTGGATTTAATTCAGGTCTGTGCATTAATAGAGGCTACGTTGGGAGAAAAGCCCTCCATCCCTCTGCTCTGAGTCAAACATTCATATTTGTAACTCAAGCAGACAGCGAGCAGGGAAACAAAACAGAACTCCCAGGTTGTTGAACTCTTTCTGCAGCAGCGTTCCTCCTTCTCACGCACCTTTGTGCTCCTGAAACACAGACGGAGGATTGAATCTGGCAGCAAAGTTTAGCTGTCTGTCATGGCAGTCAGAATGATTAAAGACTGACTAATGTCATAAAATAAGAACAAATCCAGCATGTATTTAAAGGTCTGGTCTTACATAACTACAGATAATAGTGTTGTAGGGAAGCTGCTTCAGGCTTCAGAGGTGTTGAGCTTTGATCCTGTTTTTAATGAATTGCTTTTATTTTAGGAAGTCCCACTGTTCTTACATCTAATAAAATGCAAACGCTTCAAATCTTATTTTGGGCCTACCAGGGATAAAGGCACAAAGCTTGATTATCATTGATAGCCTGTTCCATGGACTGACAGACGGCTAAATCATCATCATCAACTTTTATTATTAGACTCAAGGTCCATTTTAAAAGACATACAATACAAAAAATAGACAACACACATATAAAAGCCTCTTATAAAAGGCACTTATATCAATGTCTCCAAAGGTATGACTGGTAGCGTACTGCACTATAACTTGGGTTCGACAGCAGCATTATAATTACATTCTTTGAGTCATTCAAGCGACCGATAAATCTGTACATAAGGTTCCTCAATAAAGCTTGTAAGGTGTTAACTCCTGCATTCACAAATAGCTCACTTGCACTACTCCACCTTTGCTTTTTAAGTAAGATCCTAAAACAATCATTGAACCTGAAGTCTGTGCATACTTGAAAAGTTTTCTACACACAGAAAATATGTGAGACAAAGGTAAAATGCAAATCATGGCATTCATCTTCTTACAAACAGACACCAAGAGACAAATAATAATAATGATAATAATAAATTAGATTTATATAGCGCTTTTCTAAATACTCAAAGACGCTTTGACAGGAAACAACAAAAAAAACAAATGATACAAGAACTTGGCCAATGGCAACTAAAAAAATTGGAGATGTTTTTGGAAAAAGGAGAGAGGTTAGTGTGCAGAAAGGTTTACAGACCGGTGCAGAGCTGGCTAAACACTGAAGCTTCAGTGTCCACCACATGGCAACCTGCATGAGCATGGACTTTAGAGAGGAGGGGGCGGGGGGGGAGACAGCTCTCTACAGTGTTTTGAATTTGGACTGCAGTTGTAATCTCTACATGTCACAGTTACTTGGTGCTCCTTTAACGTTCATAATCAATGGTTGTATCATTAATATGTTTATGCGGGGGTTGGCATCACGAGGTTTGTTTGCACAAAATTGTCTGATGTTTTCTTTTTCTGACGCTCTTGGTCCTCAACCCGAGCAGGTATTACAAAAAAACGTGAAAAAAAAAGAAAAGAAAAATGCAACTAGAGCATTTAAAACTAATTCAAACTAGCTTGAAATTTAAAATAATAAGAAAAATGTGTGTAAATTTGTGTAAATTAACCTTTGTAAATAAAGTTAATGAAAAAAAAAAAAAAAAAAGCCCTCACCGTGTGACCGCTTGCCTTACGCCATTACGTCATCACGGATCAGGAAGAACTCCGGTGTCTTGACGGAAGAACGTTACGCCTATGTGTTTATTGTAAACGGCCAAATACGCAGGTATGACACCGTTATTTGACACTGAATGCTTGTACCTGTGTCGACATTACGTTGCTTTCAAAAGAGACCGTGTCGGTGAACAACACGGTTGGCTGTTTCAGGGTCAGCAGTTTGTCAAAGACAGCGGAGAGCAGACACGTTAGCATCAGTTAGCTCCAAAGCTAACAGCTGGAATTCTGTCGTAAGCTCCGGTAACTTTCACCGGATAAACAGCGGCGGATAGACAACCAACGGGAGTGAATGGATTCAACATATGGACTCAAACATGTGGCCAAACAAAGGCAACATTACCTCCTCCGTGTGGTTTAAAGATGCCTCTTGTTTCTGTGGTTAAATTTCGATGAGGTTGAACGATTTTTCGCAAGCTAACCTGTTAGCATGCTAACAGTTGTTATTTGGGTTACGTTTAATCTCCGCTGTAAAAAAACAAAAACAAACAAACAAACAGTCCTTATTAACCAAAGTGCTGCAGAATACTATCAGACTCGTCGCATGATTGTGTGAATTCATCCGCCCTGATGTGTAAACAGGATTTATACATTTTACTGAAGTAACGGTGTCCAGACAGGTGTTTCGGTTAAACGAGTTACCGTGTTAACTGATGACTGTACGGAAAGTACCGAAAATGTGTGGATGCATGTTGTTAATTAGTATTGATACTGACAAAATGATTACCCTTATGTTTTTTACATCGTTGCATTTTTAAAAATAACTTCTTAAAATGTAGTTTATGCACATTTTGGGATTTTAAAAAAAAAGGTAGTAAGCAAATGTTTATGTAGGTCTACATGAATATTCTATACTAGCTAACCATCAAGAGAGAAAAACAAAAATCAGAGGCTGAAGTCACCCCATACATCATACACACCCCAGGTGGTAAGGTCAAAATTAACATGTTTACAGCCTGGTTCAGAAAACCAAATAGGTGTGATTAGCTCATGTCTCGATCAGCACACTCTGTACAGGGGTGAATGTTTTGATGACTCATCCGTTTTGATGTCATGAAGGATAAGAGTTAATCACAATAAGGCGTGTAGCTGACCTCATTGACAGGTGGGCGCGGTGTAACGGTTTGTCAGGAGGTTTAAAACCCGCCTCAGCTCCAGCTCTCAGCCTGTCGTTAGGTTGACTGAAAGTTAGGCTGAGACAGCATTTCCAGCATGGAGACCGCCATCGATGGGACTCCAACACCCCCTGCAGGAACAGATGGGTGACGTCACTCAGGCTTTTGTCCATTCATACTTACAGACTGTGCCACACACTCATTCCTCTGAAGGTCACCATTTAATGCGGTCACTTGTTAAATCGAGACACGTCACAATACCATCATTTTAAAAGTTGATACGACGCCAGTTAAACACAACATCAACATCTGTTTCGATACCACAGCAACAGAACTAGAAGGCTGAGGCACATAATATTCGGCAACTTGCAGGCAAACTCACAAAAGGCAATTTGTTTAATTTAGACAGTGTCACCAATAAATACTATTGATCGTTAAAATAACAGATTTTATTGTTTTTAAACTTGTTGTATTGAAAAAGTATCAAAGTATTGGACATCTGTTTTTGCTGTCTTAACATTTCAAATCTTCAATATTTAAGTCTTAAAATAATATAGTGGTTATTCAGAAACACCTTTTCTCCCTCTGTGTGTTTACAGCCAAAGTCCGACCCCCAACGCACACTCCAGCAGACATGTCGTACGGCAAAGCAGAGACGTACCACCCCGTCCCTCGGGACTTCAACAGCCTCATACAGACCTGCAGCACCAACATCCAGAAGATCACACAGAACAGTAAGTCTGCCCCCGTCTCCCTGATGGTCAGGGCTGTGATTAATGCAGAAAACATGATCTGTGTGTTAAATATATTCTCTGAAACTGGTGAACAAAACCATCAATAAACAGCTCTGTTAGTTTTCTGTGGGTGAGCGTCGGCTCTGACTCGCATACCTCTGCAGAGCGGTGAAGACACAGATTGTTTCTAATGACTGCACACATGTACCCTGTGTTACAGCTGATCTGAAAGAAACAATCTGATTGGACAAGGCTCAAAATAACAGATACAAGTCGGTTACAGAATAAGCCCAGATGCAGAGTCTTCTAAGGAGTCTCACTGGGATGTTGCTACACAGGACCATTGTATACGGCACACCTGGTCAGACCCGGTGTTGCTGCCTTAATGTGGTTTATTGTTGTTGGTTTTTTTATTTATGCAAATGAGTTCATCAATTAGAAAATAAAGTCTCATCCCCGTCTGTTGTTGACAGCTGCTCAGATAAAGAGCATGGTGAGCCAGCTGGGAACCAGACAGGACAACAGTGAACTCCAGGACCGTCTGTAAGTACACCGCCTCATCTACAGAAACTCCAATGTTGATTTACTCTGTGCCAGACACACACACACACTCACACACACACACACTCACAAACACTCACCCTGATGTGTATTAGTCAAAACAAAAACTATAGATGTCCCCAGTGATTAATTTCCCTGTCAGTTAATTTAAATTCAGACTCGTCTTAAGTTCAGAAAATTCTCCAAATTGAGCACATTTTATTAAATACAGATAACAAAGTAAAACCAAACCGTATGGAGACTGTTTGAGTTCTAGTTTGAAGCCGTAGATCAAATTCTTCCATTACAAAATTGATGTAAATGTAAAAAGCCAATACTTTCAGACGTACATCACTCTGCAGGTAAACGATGTGAAATTTGTGATGCTAACATTAGCAGTGCTAGCACCACCAGCCTCGGGTCCTCCTCGCAGGTTGACGTCAACATGTCTGTGCCGAATGTGGTGACACGTTGCTCTGGTCGAGGGGTTCTACGCCAGTTCACTCACTGCTCCAATGAGATTCCATGAGTCTTCTGTTCTGGTTTACGTCCGAGCAGTAGAGCAGCGAGCCTGTTACCTGGAGCTACAGATGTGTTTATAACTGTTTGTGTTTGTGCAGGCAGCAGATTCAGCACTACACCAACCAACTGGCTAAAGAGACCAACAAACACCTGAAGGAGCTCGGCTCCATCCCGCTGCCCACATCGCCCTCAGAGCAGGTGAGAATCAGGCTGTGACATCACTAATGGCATAACCTTCTCACTGCCCTTTCAGTCTTTTATCCACACACACACACACACACACACACACACACACACACACACACACACACACCTGCACCTCTTCTGTCTTACCTCATTTCATAGCTTTGTTTGTGTGTTTTTGACAATAATCAGCACTGTCTTAGAGACGCTCATGTAACATTACTCGCTTTTTTGAAACGTTCCACTTGATATTCTGAATCTCATCAGTTGATTCTCACTTATTGATGAAGACGCATGTCACAACGATCACCGCAGCTGCAGCACAATATTCAACAACATACGAAATTACAGTTTTGAGATGAGACGTCACCTCAATCAGTGCATTATGATACAAGAACACTATGGTCATAGTGATAAACTTGACGCCAACTTTTAACCAGCCATTCTATTTCACCTGATTTCCCACCGGACATCAGCCAAAATCAGACATCACAAAATGAATAGCCAAATAAAATCATCCATATTCTCTCTCTCTCCTTCTCTTCTTCTCTCACTCTCTCTCTCGATTTCTCTCTCTCATTCACTCTCTCTCTCTCTCTCTCTCTCTCTCTCTCTCTCTCTCTCTCTCTCTCTCAATTCATTTCAAAAAGGCTTTTTAGCATGGAAAACAAACGTTTACATTGCCAAAGTTAAAATGAAACACAAAGTAAGTACAATTAAAGAATAAAAAAGTTCAAATATTAAAGTAACAGATGTGCAGGTTTACAGTTTTATATAAAGTATCTAAACTTTAAAAAATACACGTTAAAAATGTAACGTAGCTCTTAAAAACCAGGAAGTGTGATCAAAAACATGCAACATCTAGTATTAGAGTCAGAACAAATGATTCCTCCATCTTTGAATTATTCTGACGCATCACTTTCAGCCGACTGAAGGAAATGCTTTCACCTTGTTGTTGTAGTTTTTATCTTCACCACTGGAGGGCGCCAGAGTCGTACTTTTAACACCAAGGAGACATTTATATCTGACATTAGGCATCAGAAGAGGATGCAGTTATGACGGTATTCTGAAAAGGAGAAAGAAGAAGTTATACCTCATTAATCATTCTACACACACATGCACACACAGGATCTTATGGACGTGCACTAATGGAGAGATGTCAGAGTGAGAGGCTGCACATGAAGGAGCACCCGAGCAGTTAAGGGGTTTCTTTGCATTGCTCATGGGCACCTTGTTAGTGCTCAGGAAGTGAACTGACCCCTCTCCAGCTACCAGACCAGTTTCCCGACTTAGTCCACTGCGAAAGTTGAACATACAACCCTCCATTTCCCAACCCAAGTCCCTACAGACTGAGCTACTGCCGCCCAAAGAACTATGTGAAATAGTACAAAAGTCAAATTTCAATTTTCCCCCATGAGAACACATTTTTGTCTCTCAACCAGAGGGTCGGGGGTTTGATCCCCAGCTCCTGCAGCCACATGTCTGATGTGTCCTTAGGCATGACACCCCAAGTTGCTCCCGCTTCTTCTTCTGCGGTGTGTGAATGTGTATGAATGGATGAGTTAATACTGATGGACTCGTTACAAAGCAGCCTCTACCATCAGTGTGTGAATGTGTAGGTGTGACCTGCGGTGTAAAAGAGCTTTGAGTAGTTTATAGTTTCAATAATATTCAAAAGAAAGGGAAGGAAAGGAAAGAGGACAACACAACTGTATAACTAATGAATTAATGGTAAATGGTACCTCTGTAAGTTAATTCATTGATGTGTGCATGCCAGAGAGTTCAACCTTCCACACTTCAGGAAACATTTGTTTACATAGAAAGAATTTCCGTCATCTTCTGATGAATCTCCAGTAACGGCGAAACTGAGTGTGCTTTGGTATTTACCAAAAACAAAACAGGTTTCATGTTTATGATCTGGTGGTGTTATACCTCAAATATTAGATTTTGTTTCCTGTGATTCTTTAAGATTTTTGCCTCCTGCTTCCTCTAGACATGTTTAAGATTTTAAGTTATAACGAGAACAAAGAAAAAACAGAAATATGTTCTGGATTGTTTCAATTGAAGCTTCGTCCAGAGTTGGGTCAACTTGCTTTGGTACATATTTTATGATGTGGTATGTATGACCTTCTCTGCATGGATGACCTTCTCTGCGTCTCTTCTAACCGACTTTGTCCTTCTCTGTGTGCGTTCAGAGGCAGCAGAAGATCCAGAGAGATCGACTGATGAACGATTTCTCTGCAGCTCTGAACAACTTCCAGGCCATCCAGCGCCGTGCAGCAGATAAGGAGAAAGAGTCTGTGGCCAGAGCGAGAGCTGGATCCCGTCTGTCGGTGAGTGGTGAATAGAACCAGTGATAGACTCACCTGAGCGGGTTAATGAGAGAAAAGTCATGAATCTTACAGTTCAGGTGAGTCCCGTTTAACTGTGAAAGTGTGTTTTTTCTTCTCCTTCAGGCTGAAGACACTTCTCGAGATGAGAAACTCGTTTCCTTTGATAAGTAAGTCACTCCTTCATTCGGTCAGGGAAAAACAACTTTGTAAGGTCTATTTTGAAGATTGTTTATATCGTAATGCCTTAATTTACCCAGTGAATGTAAACATGTGCTCCACATTATAACAACGATAACACCTGGCTCAGCCTCGGTCAAAACGAGCGCCTTTACACGTCTTAATAGTTTTCACAAAAGTAAACGATCTAAGAGAAACACGAAGACGTCTCGGTCATGAGCAGATCCCGACTGGCTTCACTTGCAGGCTTCTTAAAGCTGTGATGTCGGTGATGCTCTCCTCTGATTGGTCCGTCAGTTTCGGCAAGTGTGCGCATCAATCAGACCTCTCAGGTGGTGACTGCGCGGGCGGATGATGCGAGCAATCAAACCTGGGGAACCCACCTCACACATGCCTATGTAGTTAGGAATGCATAAAATAATGCCTATTTTTAATTAACGTTTTGTGTTGAATATCTTTTATTGAGGCATTTTAAATCATCAGAATAGATCCATAACTTTGTCTCAGGCTAATGTTACAAACTGCAGGTGTGAAAGTGATCATTATAGGAGACATCTGCAGAACATTTAAAGCTCTGAACCTGCAAAAGAACAAAAAAACAAGACTGAAAATGATGTAAAGCCAACAAAGTAGGAAGGAAAATCAGCTTTAATTTATTTAGGTTATACCTCTGAGTATTCTGTAGGCTATTTGTGTGTTTTTAAACGGTTCTTCTCTGCGTGTGAAGCCAAGACGACTGGGGTCAGATGACGGCTCAGACGGAGGAGGCGGCCATCACAGAGGAGGACCTGGAGCTCATCAAGGAGAGAGAGACCAACATCAGGCAGCTGGAGGTCGGCCTGTCTTTATTCTTTATTACATAATAAAACATATCACATGGGGGACATAACATATCACATGGGGTAAGATAACAAGCTGTGTTTAAAGACAACACACACGCATATATTTTCTAATATTAATATTAGTACACATCATAGACTGTATATACAAATGGACAGCGTGCCTCGAGCTCCTCCAGGTGGAAGAGGATGAAGCCAAAGTATCCCTGTGACAGGCACTGGCTGTGGATCAGTTGTAGAGTCGGTGGTCCCTCAATCTGAAGGTTGGAGGTTTGATCTCCAGCTCCTGGGACAACATGTCGATGTGTCCCTTGGGCAAGACTTAGCTAATTTGTCAGCAGCGTGTGAATGTTTATGAACGGATTAGTTAATACTGACGGACGCATTACACAGCAGCCTCTGCCATCAGTGTGTGAATGTGTGTGGTATGAAAGCGCTTTGAGTCAAAAGACGAGAAAAAAAAAGCTCAAATCCATATTGGGAATTTGAAACCAGAGTCTACCAGAGTAGGGAACGGCTGGAAGAGCCGCTTTTGCTAACAAAACCACTCATTTAACTTACCTATGAAAATGTTTCTTACTTCTCTTGATGTTTTCACTTGACCCTGATAACCCCCTGCACACAGCCCCCGCAGGAGCCTCATTCGTCAACAGAGCTGTCAATCATTTCCTACTGTTTTAAAATATCAGAGAACTAATTTACAAGAAACTTCTCAGAAGAGAGATGACGTGAAGACAATGGTGTGAAAACAAATAGCAATCATGACGAAACTATGTTGAAGAAAAGTCTATTTGATATTCATTTGAATGACATATTTTGACCCTTGTCCCATCTGTTAACAAAAGCAGGCGGGATATATGACGTATACTGTCAGCTAGAGGAGCTCTAAATCTTCTTGCTTCACTTGAGGCGAGGTGTTCTGCTGTCCATTCTTTATACACTCTGAAACACACCAGGACACATGGGAAGACCATCAGCCCCCCCCCCCCCCCAGGTCCTCAGACTTATCCCAACATTTTGTGCGTTTCAGTCTGACATCCTGGATGTGAACCAGATCTTCAAGGACCTGGCTGTGATGATCCACGATCAGGGAGAGATGATCGGTGAGTAGAACCGGGTTTGTTTTTCTCAGCGCTCTGTGGGTCTGTGACGTCTAAGGAGCACAGGTGAACAGATTCAGTGTCTGATTTATTTCTGGATGCTCCAAACATGAACAACGTCCTCTTCCAGAGGCTTGTGACTGATCTGTGTGTGCGTGCGTTCTGTCCTGCAGACAGCATCGAGGCAAACGTAGAGAACGCTGAGGTGCACGTAGAGCGAGGAACAGAGCAGCTGCAGAGAGCCGCCCACTACCAGGTGAGTCTGCAGCTTTACTGTAACTCTACCTGCCGTCACTCAGTGATGTCACTCACCAACCTGTCTCTGCTTCTCTGTCGCAGCAAAAGTCCAGGAAGAAGATGTGCATCCTCGCCATGGTGTGCTCCATCGTGCTCGTCATACTCGGCATCATCATCTGGCAGGCTACAGTGAACTGACTCCGCCCAACTTATGTGTCACTGCTATATTTTACCCCGCCCCCTCCCACCTGCAATACCTGCTTGGAATCACCAGAAGAAGAGGCCAGTCAGCGAGGACGGAATCAGTCAGATGTGATCGAGCCTGATTTTGTAAATAATCTGAAAACATCAGATTCCCTGTGAGATGAAGGATGGAGGCCTGAGGTGGAGCAGGGGAGCGATCTAAGATATATGAGATTCCTTAATTTGCTTCGTTCATTCTTCTTTACTGCACTAACACTGGCTGTCACAGTATTTCAAATGTCAAAAAAAAAATGTTCTCGGGTTGACTTCAGAGCAGGTTTAATGAAAAAAAGAAACACGTCTCGTTAAAGTAAAAGAATCTGTGGTTTTTAGGGGCTGTAAATTATTTTTCTGTTCGGTCGTTGATGCTGCTCTAACATGCCGGGGGGGGAGGGGTTGGGCGGGTGTCTGACTCCTGGTCGTAATGGAAGCATAGGATGTAATATACATGTTAAAAAATGAAAACATTAAATCCATGTCTGTAAATATTCCACAGTGCTGCGATATACTCTGAACATTATGGATGATGATAAATAATGACACTATCTCTGGATGAAACGTCGAACATTTTTATTGATTTCTATGACTCCTGACGAGAAGCGTAATAAATGTCTTAAACACACCTGTCCCTCTGAGCGTCTCCTCAGTCTGTGTCAACACTTAAACACATTCACTGTGGTACTGATAAATCATTGGATTTGGTATCTTCTTTCTCTGTATAAGAAACCCAACCTGCAGAGGGAGACCTGCATCCAAAACTACAAAATGTCATTCACTCCAGTCCACGCTTGACCTCAGCTCAGGTCAACCAATCACACCGCATTAACTAAGAACACTTGCAGTGATTGGCTGCCTACAAGGGGTCACCTTTCCTGTTCTTGTAATAGAAAAAAGGATCAAATCGTGGACCCGTATTCACAAACATTCTGAGAACCCTCTCCTGACTTAGCCTAGAAGTGATTTAGGAACATTCTCGGAGCGACTCTGAGCAAGGAAGAAACTGAAACTTTTATTTCAGTGTGGAGGCGTGGTTGCTAGGTATGACACATTTTTTCAGAAGCTGTGATTGGTTGATCCAACAAAATGGAGAAAAAAAGTCAATCAGAATCTAGTCAGACATTATGTGGCTAATCGTGAATACTATGAAATTATAATACGTGATAATTTTCAAGATGTACTTTAAAAGTATATGGCCTTAACTAGGATTGGATACACCTGTGGAGGTAATCACATGTAGAGAAACTGAACATGCATGTCTCACTTTGCACAGAAAAAAGTCAGCCATGGATTGCAAAAGTCTGCCCAAACCATTTTTGTCTGTTTGGCCTGACTATGAGTCAATAAGAATATTCTTCATGAAGTGTTTGCAGAACATTTCTCTGTTTTCTCCTCAGCTTGAGAAACTCTTCACCCTGTTAATAGTCCTCCTCACTATTCCTCACAGTTTTACACCTTAAGAGCTCTCTTTAGGGCTAAGACACTGTGAATAACTTTCATCTTTACCAGGACCCAGTCCATACTTTAAGGGGAATTTCTTAGAAAATGTCCTGATTCTAAGAATGTTCTTAGCATTTTGTCACTAGCAGTACTTAAGAGGCTTTGTGAATACAGCCCCAAGACATAACGAAAGCAAACATGTGTGCTCAGTGGTTTTCCTACAGCACGGTGCGTGGTGGTAGTTATTGAGGTGACTTCAGGGTTAACTCTGGAGATTCAGTAACACAAAGACAGTTCCCCTTTTACCGAGGGAGAGCTGCTCCGGAGCAGGTTTTTAGGTAAGAGAGCAACCTGTAAAACACATTACAGCTCTGTTGTGCATGCATTTATATATTTGTGCTGATGATATAAGACTGCGTGTGTGTGTGTGTGTGCGCGCGTGCGTGCGTGTGCGCGTACATGCGGGTCTCAAGACTACGATTGCATGGCAGGATGTTGAAACATTTCCTTCTATTCTGGTGCAGTCTTCCTCCTCACAAAGTGCCTGCTTAGACACACACATACACACACACACACTCGCACACAAAGTTAAGGATGTGCAATCTCACTAGCCAAGTGGTAACCATTGGCAACACAGTTTTAGAGCATAAAGTGGATGAGTTTTCTGTTGCTGGTGTCTCTCTGTAAAGAATCAGAATAGCCTCTGATAAAGCCGTGTATAGTTCAAACTGAAGCTTCAACTCGGACCTGACCAGATCTAAACGAGGTAACAAAAAAAGTCTGCACTTCATTAATCAGATATTTGCATCTCTTTAGCATGTATTTTCCTTCTCTTTAATATTTGTTTTTGCCGTTGATTTCACATCTTTATTAGAAGCAAAGTAATTAAGTATTCAAGAGTTAATTGCTGTAATTTTGTTTGACCTACTTTCATCTGATTTCAAACAATAATCAAACTAGCAATCCTAACAAGATCATGGAAGTGACATGATACTCAATCAAAAGGTCAACCACTTATGAATGCCTGTGTGAAATGCGTGTTGATAAGGCAATTATCTCCTGCAGGCTTTGCTTTGTGTACTTTTTATTGCGTTAGTCTGTGTGGACTATGATTTAAATAGATATTTGTCTGTAGAATCCGAGTGGCAACCTCCACTGTTGAAAAATGAAGCTGAAGTGAAATGTGCAAAATCCTGCAGTTCATCGAGTGACCACTAGAGGCTGGCTGCAGAAGCACCAGAAGTTATATACACACCCATTCTAAAAAGCCTGTTTTTACAGCAGAAATGAACATGTTTACAGCCTGGTTCAGAAAAACAAAATAGGTCCGATTAGCTCATGTCTTGATCGGCAAAAAAACCCGCCTCAGCTCCAGCTCTCAGTCTGTCGTCAGGTTGACTGAAAGTTAGGCTGAGACAGCATTTCCAGCATGGAGACCGCCATCGATGGGACTGCAGGAACAGATGGCTGACGTCAGTCAGGCTTTGTCCTTTACTATATACTGTGTGATGATGATGCTTTATGCCAGATGTTGACTAAATGCTTCTCTGGATAAAAAAGACTGTGACTGAGCAGGACTTTGACAGTGAGTAGGTTAACCGGAGTTTTTTTTTGTTCCAAGTGTGTCTTTCTTTGCATTCACTTATATGGGACTCGTAGCACATGTTGTTGAATACTTTATTGCAGCTGTTGCAGTCTGCTGTTTCTTTATGTGTTAAGTTCAGCTTTCAGCAGCAATTTCATTCAGTTTTGCAAATAAAAGATTTTTCTTTTGCGAAGCATTTTGGTTTTACTGATAACTTCATCAGCGAGTAGTCGACATCGGCTCGACTGTAACCACATGACTGTCTACTGTCTACTAAAACTGAAGTCATGCAACACCCATATGGACCGACAGTCGCACTAGCTTTACGCTAGCTCATCCAACCTAGATCAGACCAGAAGTACGTCACATGACCCATAGTTTAGTATGCTGCTAACAGCATACTAACAGTCGGGTTAGTCGACAGTATGCACTAAACACTGATTTAGTATGTAGCAGGCAGAACGTTAGTATGTGGTTTCAGACACAGTCCATGATTTACAAAATGAACATCATGATGTATTGAAGAACCTTAAACTAAAGCTTGAGACCATCAACTCATTAGGAATACATTTATAAGGGGATAAATCAACTGAGAAGTAAGATTATTTGTCATGGACGTCCATACAATCTAACTGTAACCTGTGAGATCGCCCCCTGCTGGCCATTAAAAGGAATGCAGGATTAGGACACTGCTGCTTTGGCTTCAGTTTTTAGACCGACAGGCCACGTCCACGTCTCATTTACCTTTTCTGTTAGCAGTTTGTGTTTCTGTCATGGTGACAAAACATTACACACATAAATATGAAAACCAATCCTCTAACTTTTTAACATTTGGAAAAAGCTTTCATTTCAAAAAGCAGCAATAGTCTATAGCAGACAACTGAATACTCAGTGTGTGTGCGTGTGCGCGTGTGCGTGTGTGTGTGTGCGTGTGCGTGTGAGGGGGCGGTGATGATTCAGAAGTCAGATTTCTCACAGGAACAGCCACTTTACTGGAAGCAGAAGCACGTTGCAGTTGGCCGGTGAGGACAGGTTTTTTTTTTTTTTTTAGTTTTTATGTTTCTCTCTCTTTGTCAGATTTGTGAGGGTGATCGGCGGAGAAGAATACAAACATTTAGTCTGGATATTTGATGTTTCTGACTCTCTGACAGCCCTCTGAGTCTGTCATTGTGAGAAAACTGAGCCGTCACAATGTCCAGAGTCACCAATCTGTCGAAGCTGCGGCAGGAGAGGATGAGGGAGATCAACCTGAGGGTGAGTGGGCTTCATGTTCATCATTCTAAAAGACTAGTAGAGTTAAAAAAAATAAGTAGAGGTGATTTAATTAAAGTTTCCTGTTTGTGAATCACTGTGTCACTCCGTCAGGCTGACTGGTTCCCTCTTCAGGATCACGGCCTCTCACACTGCAGGCCCTGATATCTCTTAACATGTAGATATAATCCGGATAATACTGTGCCTGTTTGTGGATGTAGGTGGCGAGGTGTTTCTATGTTTGTTGTACACAGTGTACTTGCTCACTGGATATTTAACTATAGCAACTGTTGCCATAGAAATGGCAGTGGGTGTGAGTGTGATATTACTGCTGTCTTTGAGGATGTTTGAGGCCTCCAGTATGAGCCCAGAAACGTTTGGTGCTTCTGCCACAGCCTCACAGTCACAGACAGACTTTTTTCTTCATAAAAACGGAAGAAATGTTGACATCGTCGATTAAGCAATTTGCTGGATTTGTTAAAATTGCCCAATCTGCAGTTCTTATGAGTCAACGGCTGCGACATCTTCATATGACCTTTACCCCTTGCACTCTGTTTTAAAAAAAAATATGTATTGGTTATTTTTCAATAAGGGGAGGCGGCATTGCAATTACATGAGTGCGACAAAGCAAAACAAGGCACACATTGTGATACCGCAGTACCTGCCTACCCACCCCACCACACCCCACAGCACCCCCAACCCACCTTGGCAGTGTATGCCAGACAAAGATGGAGACAAGGCAAGGACCTAAGTGCCTAAAAGGAGAGACAGAAAAATAAAAGAACAATGATAACACAATAAAAATAATTGAAAGACTAGACCTCCCAACCCCATCACCCCACCACCCATAAGAAATCTATACAGCAAACCGGAGCTGACAGGATTATGTTGATTTCCTCCATCGTCCATGATGATAGCCACAAAATGTATGTGTATGAGAAGACAAAGGAGGTTACATATATATACATAAATAATTAATCACAACTACCTATCAATCAATCATAACAAATGTTATCTCGAAAACACTTTACAAATAGCGGGTAAAAAAATCCTACTCTTCGAAGAAAAATGGGATGGGGGAGATGGGATAAGACGCAGGAAGAAGACAAACGGGGGGGGGGGAATCCATAGCTGCTGGCCATCATCACCAAAAATCCTGAGGATCCTACAAGACGAGAGCTCAGGAGCTCCCAGGAAAAGATGTGGTTAGTAACTAAGATTTATAAATAGCGACATGCGGTAGTATGATGTGAATGCACAGAGAGAGAGAGAGAGAGATAAGAGCTAGTTCCTCCTGTAGTCTAAGCCTATAGCAGCATAACTATGAGCTGGTCCATACCTGCGCCAGCCCTAAGTATAAGCTTTTTAAAAAAAAATAGTTTTAAGTCTATTCCTAAAATTACAGAGTGTGTCTGCATTCCAGACTCTGATTGGTAGATGATTCCAAAGGAGAGGGGCCTGAAAACTGAAGGCCCTTCCTCCCATACTACATTTAGAGACTGTAGGTACCACGAGCAGGCCTGATGACTGAAGGCTCTTCCTCCCATACTACATTTAGAGACTGTAGGTACCACGAGCAGGCCTGATGACTGAAGGCTCTTCCTCCCATAGTACATTTACAGACTAAAGGTACCACAAGCAGGCCTGATAACTGAAGGCTCTACCTCCCATAGTACGTTTAGAGACTATAGGTACCACAAGCAGGCCTGATAACTGAAGGCTCTACCTCCCATAGTACGTTTAGAGACTATAGGTACCACAAGCAGGCCTGATAACTGATTGCACTACCTCCCATAGTACGTTTAGAGACTATAGGTTCCACGAGCAGGCCTGACAACTGAAGGCTCTACCTCCCGTAGTAAGTTTAGAGACTGTAGGTACCAGGAGCAGGCCTGATAACTGAAGGCTCTTCCTTCCATAGTACATTTAGAGACTGTAGGTACCACGAGCAGGCCTGCATCCTGGGAGCACATATTTTTTGTAGTAGGTTTTACCAACAAGTGATATTAAGTGTTTTTGGCAGGATGTTCTTGAGCTGTGGAGAGCTCCAGCTGGGCAATATCTCCATAAGTGGAGAGCCATTCCTTCACTGACAGTACGGACTGTACACTTGAGTTATTTTTGCAAATAATGTCAATGAAAATTAGACTTTAGGACACAGAAACCAAACAACAAACACTTAAAAGAAACTATAACTCTCCATGCAAATTCCTATCCATCCCTAAGAGCAATTTGTGTTATATCTTAGAATAGCTGTCCACACATCTTGTGTTATCCCAGGACATGTGTTAAATACTTGATTCTGATTAGCCCATTATGCATAGCAATGGTTTTCCATCCCTGGATAGATCTCCTTTTTTTTGTTTGTTGTAGAAGAACATGCCGTGACTAAGACAAGGAGACAGTTGACAGTTTTGCACTTTAATACTCACTTTCACTCTGAAGGTCACTTTATCCTGGTTTGTTATGACCAACATCACATCCACTTTTGATGCTCGTTTAAATGGGTCTCCATTGACTCATACAGTTTATGTTGTTGTTTGATTTTTTCTTGTCATTGTGGACAAGAGTTGTGGTTGTAGTTCCCAGAGTCATATACCATCTATCAGACTATGATGGATGTTGACTGCTGAAGGGTTCAGAGATTGCCCATATTTAAACAATTTGTAACATGGAAAACAATAGTTAAACATTTTAACTTTAGCATTTTAGTTTCCTGCCTTGATTGTGATGTCAGAGGAAAATGACCAGCATGTGAATCTGACCAGTAGGGGTACTTTTATTCTTGCACATGCAAGAATAATTCATTTCAGGAATTACTTTATAATTCAACATGGTGTACCTTTGTGTTTGCATGAGTTAAGCAGACTTTGACCCCTCCTTTGTTGCAGAGCTTCATAGAAACGAGGATTCATGTCAAACGATATGCAGTATGTCTGAGTGCGCTGTACGAGCTTTCTACAGCTTTCCAAATAATTGGAATTTTTTTTACATGAACCATTTCAAACTCTGAGTCAGGAGCCTAGAGAGGCCATGAAGGCTGCATCTGCAACTTCTATTTCTGAGCTTATCACCCTTCAGATTAAAATATGTATAGTATGCTAAATCATAAAAACCTTCCAACCGGCCCCAATCAAGCATTTCACTAAAGCCGTCAAGCAGATGGAGGTCAGGTGGTTTCTGTTTCATGTATCCCTTGTTGTTCCTGCTCTTATTCTGTTTTTATTTGACATTTTTTTTCCTGTAAGTGTTTTTGAAAGTATTCCTCTGTTTCATTTCCTCTTTTTTCTGCACCGTACAAGAATGGCATTGACATTAACATGTCGGTCAGGGAGGCTAAACTTAAATTACCCAGGGTGCTTTGCTGTCAAGTAGGAATCAATCTGGGTTACTGGACCACTTATGTCCCCACAGTGGCTTTCTGCGGTCCTCAAAGTGGAGCAGTTAGAGAGTGAGTATGCAAGTGAAACAGAGCAGGTCATCCAATGAATCTTTAGACTTGCTGTTCAGGTGGAGATCGTCTTTGCAGGTCAGATGTTTTTGACTTTGTGACAAGCTCATGGCTGGAGACTGTTTCTGCAACGTAAAGTTCAACACAGAGGTCACGATTCTTACAAAAAAAAAACACTTTTAGATTACATGTGTAAGACACCTCACTGCACTTTTACATGTCATGAAGATATTGTGCATTATAGTCCTTAATTAAAGCCTTCTAACTCACACGGGCCTTACACCAAAGGACTTCAGATTAAGATCAGAAGAGATTTGTTCCAGTTGAGGTGCACTCCTGTGATCTCGGCCTTTTGGTGTGAGGGGGTCCGTTTGTGCTCCTCTGTCTAACAGCCCCGTTTCCACCCAGCGGTCTGGTTTGGGTCAGTACAGTTCAGTACAGTGGGGGCGGTAAACCCTGTAACTTGCTTGCGTTTCCAACCGTGCCCTTACACATCACTCACAGCGGCACGACAATGGCCGATAAAATCCGACAAAGAAGAAGAAGAACGTGACGCAGTAAACAAGATCAATGATTCCTAAGAAGGTCTGCATCGCCAAGGTCGTCCATGGGGCGGTCTTAGGTCGCAAAAAACACAAACACAAAACAACCTTAAAACGACTCTCTCCAAATCCACAGGATATTTGGTGCCCTTTATTAACGCTGTCACACGGGAAGTGACAGTTCTATCGACCAATCAGCGGACTGCAGTGTGTCTGGCTCCACCCTTCAGAGTCGATGAATACGCTTGGCACCCCAACAGAAGGGTACCAAAAAAGTATGACGATATGGATCAGTTATTTTGGTACCCTTCCCAATATTTGACAATGGAAATGCCAATAAATGCGTACCTTACTGAACCGGACCGCTTGGTGGAAACGGGGATTAAACAACAACTGACACCTCAGTGAAAGTTCCTACCTGTAATGAGCATGACCTGAACCCAGAGGTGACACCTGCTAGAGCTATTTGTAGCACCTCGGTATGACTCCCACTATCCCTTTAATTTATCTGAGCCAATAAGAAATAAACACACCTGTAGATGTGTCAGACAGTTTTATTGTTCATGTGACACATCTCAGAGTTTTAGTTTATTATAGTGCGGATATAGCGAAGTCTCTGTAAGCTTCAAAGTGCCCGTAACATATATTCAATGTAACTTCCTCTAAGCTGTTCTCAGAACTGATGAAGTCTTCACAGACAAGGTTTAAAGTTTGGTGCAGCTGAAAGCAGAAGGAAGTGAAAACGATACATATGGATGATTCTGAATCGAGCAGATGGCTGACGGACGTTATTGTGAGGACACTCTGACAGGCTGGTAATGTAAAGTGTTGTTTCTGTAGGCTGGTTGATATTATCTTCTCTTTGTTAGCCTGTGTGATCTCTGAATTCATGTACAAGGGAGGTGTTTAACTTTTTATTTTTTTCAGGTTTGCAGGGAGCCAGATCAGCTATGTCTCGCCTATTTTGTTTTTGAGCTAAGCTAGTTTAAGCTAGTCTCTTTAGCGTCACAGTTGATGCACTGATATGAGTTTTTCTCCTGTCTCAGTAAAGATTGTTCTCAGCCGAAAGATTTCTTTATTTAAAGCATGTATAATAACTATGATAACAAGACGTGGTGTGAAAGCCCCAAATTGTCTTGTACATCTACTTATGTTCCCACTATCCCTGAAATAGATGCTTTAGCATACTGTGACCCCTAACAGTACAACTTAAAGTTAAACAAACACAAAGATCCTTTATATTTAAGTGTGACAGTGGTCTTTACTCCTGAGCGGCTATCCTCTTTTAAACGTCATCATAAGTTTCAGTGTCTGCAGCACAAATGTGTCGATGTTGTAATCGGTCCGCTCTAACTTCTGCTTTCACACCATGTGATCATCATGAGAGCTTCTTCTTTTCCGAGAAGAGAAAATAACACCACAAACATAAACACACAGGAAGTTGGGGAGCCCCTGATTTCATCATCAGGAGACCCCAGAGATCAGAAAAAAAAAAAAGCTGCAGGGTTCACTGCTGCAGCTGGAGGTTGACGCCGAGCCTGAGGTGTGATGAAACTATAGATGCTGATTAACGCTGCGTTACAACATCAGTGTTTCCACTAGGTTTACAGCGTGGGGGGGGGGCGACAAGGCGACACAACGACACGGCGACACGACGACACAAACACTTGAAGGAATCTTGGTGTTCATGTGTTACTTTTAATGACAGCTGTCCTTTTCTATCAGAAAGGTATCCTTAAATGACTTCTTTCCCTGATTTCCGACTCTATCCACTATCCTATCTCTACAATAAAGGCACAAAAAGCCCCAAAAATAAATCTTTAAAAAATATATATTATTATTATTATATTTTTTTTAGTTGATTCACACACTAGTCTCGCCTCTGACTCTCCACCCAAGCACAGCTTCCCCCTGTTGACCACGTGTGTCTTCTTCAGTGTATTCATCAGACTGAAACCGTGTCCTTCCTCTTGTTACCACACGATGAGCTTGACGCTGCTGTGTTAGCAATAGCTTGTGCTTTCTTGGTGGCCAGTGCTGATGTTGTTAAAGTGCTGTTGGTTTAGAGGGTAAGATTCACTTCTAATGTTCGCTCTGGTTGACCTTTTTCTTCCCTTTGAGAACTGAGTTCCTGATTTCCTGATTTGCAGCCATAACAGGCAGTCCAGTGTGACATTCAAACAGTTTGAGCTTCAGATCCTGAGTGTGACGTCAGATGAAAATGGGGGACTCATGGTAATGAGGTCAAAGGTGTCACAGGAGGAGAGAAAGAGGTTCATGTATATGTAGAAGAGAAGGATGTTTTATTGAACCGCCCCCTCTAAACCCCACCCCCGCCCCCGATCACACAGGTGATGAGTCAATGCAGACGTCAGCAAGAACAACCAGAAAATCCTCCCACACTGCAGATCAATAATCTGAATAACACCATCAGAGCACAGGAACTGAGGACCTGCTTCAACTGAGCTGTTTTTAAGTTTGTGGGGACAAAAACGTAAAGGTAGAATAAGAAACAGTTTTATAAAAGTACACGCACACCTCGAGGGAATAGCCTCAGACTCAAACGCATACTCACAGCGACTGCGTCAACTCTCACCTTCAGACTGCAGACACAGGCATCGACACGGGCGTAGCAGCACTCAGATGTGCGTTAGCGTACTCTCCAGTGTTCTCAGCAAACAACAAATCCCAGATAAGAACACTTTGGTGAATGTCAGAATATTCTTAAAAACGACATGAGGTTTTTTGAGGGTTTTAAACTCAAATTTAATCTCGAACAGTTTGTACCAAGGACAATTTAATTTCCTTAACAGCGGGTCTCTGCTTCAAACAGCCATGGACTGTACCCTCCTCAGGGTTTTTTGATGTTTTATCTACAAGTTAAATTTGGGCTTTCTGCAGTAGACGCGGCATAATGTCATCCCCGGCTCCTCTTTTTGCACAGACTCTGGATGACAATATGTCAGCCTCTGTCACAGGGATTTTTTGGCTTCATCCTGTTTAACTGGACCATGTTCAAACTTTCCATCAGAATCAGAATTGTTTTTTATTGCAGATTACATTTACACATACGAGGTAATTACTCCCAGTATTAATCTCCTCTCAGAGTGCAGTGTTAACAGAAAATACTCAAGTCCAGTGAGCGTAATGTAATGCACACAGCCTTCACATTATATATGTGGGGTCTCTCAAGACCACAGTAACCAAGACCCAGACACACCTGAGACCAGAGTGCTCAGAGACAAGACACATGCAGGAATCCAGACCAACTCGAGACCAAAACCAAGACCATAAATATCACAGAAAAATTATCATCTTTTGTGCAGGGGGCGTATCACACATTTAGAAGGGTTAGTTATTCAATGTTTTAGAAAGAGGTGTTTTCCTTCTTATCACAGTAATGACTCAGCGGTGGTCTTGACCAGTCTTGATTTAACATCCGGAGTCTGTCCAGTCCGAGACTGAGTGAAAATGCTTTTGATTCCCAGACGAGACAGAGACCTTGATAAAGTCCGATCTCGGTTACTGTATACGCTACTTATCAGTGACATTTTATAACTTTTAAAGCTGTATTTGTTTGTTGTCTGCTCTGTGTTTAGTCTGTCCAGCTTCGTTTTGCGTTTGCTCTGATACAAATGAATTTCATAAGAGATCAATTAAGTGCTTTCAATAGAGCTGATCCTCTTCTATCGTTCATCCATGTAGGAAATCCAGCTTGATGTTGGAACGGCCAAATGCTGACGCAACGCGCCTGTTTTTAAAGTTGTTAACATTTGTGTTTATATATTGTGTGAAGTAAAAGTCAGAAAAATACGATCTGAAGTTCAGAATGAGTTCCTGTAAACTCAACTTTGTTCGATAACCTTGTATTCTCACTCTGATCCGTTCCATCTTGTTCTGCTCTCTCGTGATAAACTCCCTCTGAAACGTTTCATGACTCCCACAAACACACAGGAGGTCATTTCATCTAGATTTCTGTGTGCTTCTCCCTCCAGAACAAAGAGAGGGAGAGAATGAGGGATCGAGAGAAGGCGGCGAGGGAGAGGGAGGCCCGTTACAGTAACGGTCATCTCTTCACCTCTCTGACGGTTTCAGGAACGACGCTGTGTTCAGCCTGCAACAAGAGCATCACGGCCAAGGAGGCGCTCAGCTGCCCAAGTCAGTAACATACCTTCTGCATGTTCAACAGAACAAGTCAAAAGTACTGAGGTAGAGGTCAAAGTTCACCCATTTTTTAACTTCAGTCAGAGGAAAAAGACTCGTAAACCTTACATGCAATTATTCGATCGAAAAGTTATGAACCTTCTGTTTGGTTCATTACTTTTAAAAAGTGAAAATCTGAGTTATCGGTAACCACCACAGTCCGTATAAAACATGGATGTAGTCTCAGTGACGTCACACATTGATTACTGATGGGGAGTTTTGAAGCTAAACGATGGAGGCCACCATATTGGAAATGCTGTCTCAGAATGACTGCCAATGTCCACAAAGTCAGTGCAAAACATCGACGGCGCTGTCACTCTACATTTTGGCGTTCACTTAATTTTTATGCACTGGAGGTTTACGCTTTGTAACCATCAATCTAATCCAGTTTACACAGACTGTAAGCATTTAAATCCTGGAGTTATTTTATTGCTTTAATAGGGGGAAATTTGAAAGACAGAAGTGAGCCTTCGTTATTTTCTTTTATACTGCTTTTTTTTCCAGCATGCAACGTAACGATCCACAACCGCTGTCGAGACACTCTGCCGAACTGTGCCAAGATGAAACAGAGGGTAAGACTCGCACTATTACATAAATCATACTTGTTTACTGAATCTACGGACACATTCAGGGATATTTCATACGTTTTGTTATCGTTTATTCATAATCTTTAGAGTTCAGGATAAAAAGTAAAGTTCAAAGTCATCAAAGTTTTTCCTCTACAGGTCTCTTCATATTGAGCAAAAAAAAGAGAAATATGTATTAAAGCTTGTAAAATATTGGTCCTAAATCACACTGCGAGACTCGTCCAGCAGCAGCAAATATCTGAATTGTTCTGATGTTTTCTCGTCATCGCAGGAAATCAGAGTGAAATAAAATGCTGTATGTCGCTCAGGGCTTCTGTAGTGACTTACACAAACCACCAGAAGATAAAAATATGAGAGTAAAATGAAGCAGAAATGATTTTACATCCAAAATTAAAATAACGTTGAGGACATATCAGACGAAACATGGCTGCCTGATGGTTTGATAGTTGAAGATCTCAGAACATTTTGGGAAAATGACAGAAGAAACTGAACTTCTAAATCACTGCATAGAAGAAGAAGTCGGGTGTCTTTTAATTCAATTCAATTCAAACAACTTTATTAATCCCTCTTGGGGTAATTGGTGTGGAGCAGCTCGTACACATGAGAAAGAAACACGAACAAAGACAAGTCGACGTAAAAGCAACAGATTAGCCTACACAAGGAGTTAAAACATAGATAAGACCTAAATGAGACACTGATATTGGACAGACTGATTAAAAGTCAGCCAGACTGAAGATGAAATGAAAACACACTGGAGTGATCAGTCAAATAAAAGAATGAATAATAATAATAAATGTGTGCGATGCATCCTGATCTGTGTCCTCTAACACCACAGCAACAGAAGACCGCCTTGCTGAGGAATAACTCGGCTCTGCAGAACGTCACGCTGCGAACAAAAAGTGAGAACTTTTTATTTTTCCCTAATATTTTAATGTATCTTCCTCCTAATGTTGTGAAAATGTTCTTTACGTTATGATACGTTTTGATACCACATGTTGTAAATGATAAAATCTCTGTTAATTTACTAATCAGTCGTATTGAAAAGGACTGCAAAGATCGACGATCTTCTTAAGTTGAACTAGAAGCTGCAACGAGAGAAAGAAGGAGCATCGTATAAATTGTGCTGTTAAGAAACATAGACGATGTATTTGTATAATTCAGACAGTGTGCGGAGCTTCGACTGCATTTTTGGTTAATTGAAAACTAATTTTGGTGCCTAAGACTAGTGTTGCAGTCCTTGAAATCGTTCTTGGTCTCGAGAGCACTTTTTGAAGGTCTTGTCTCGGACTCAGACTGGGCGGACTCCGGATTTTGAATCAACAACTGGAAGGCTATTTTTTGATGTCATTACTGTGATTAGAAGGAAAACGCCTCTTTAAAAATAAATAAGGAAAATAATAAAAATAATAACTTAAATTCATTCAGAATTTGATTTTCAACCCCTGGTTACTGCCGCAACCTTCTCGGTGTTACGGTCTAAGTGAGTGACAAGCTGCACACGAGATGATGATTTTTCAGTGATATTTATGGTCTTAGTCTTGTCTCGGTCTCGGAGCACTCTGGTCTCGGTTAGTGTGGTCTTGACTACAACACTACCTAGGACTTATAATTTTGTTGCCTTGGTATTGAAACCGGTATCAATGTCATTTAATTAAAATATTAAAGTTTAAAAGTCATGATTCAAGTCCCTCTCCTCGTCCCTCTCTTCCTCTACCTGAAACATTTTCTAAATCCTCAGCTCCGGGGATGCGTGAACGTCCGACGTCGGCCATCTACCCCTCGGAAAGCTTCAGACACACCCTGCTGGGGTCCCGCAGAGGACGCTCCGGCCTCTCGCTGTCAAAGAGCGTCTCCACCAACAACATCTCCGGGTCAGCATCACATCCACTGGTCAGATACAGAACAATATAAGGGACACGTCTTAATCCTTTAATTAGGTGAAGGTCCTGCACAGGAACTTAAGAGTGCCACTCTGAAGTATGAATTAAGAAATCTGATGTGAATCAGCTGGATGTTAGGGTTGATGTACAAAGAAAAGATTATTTTTAAAGGCAGCTCCTCCAAAAAGTCTATTAAATCCTGCAGAAAGGAGGAGGATTACTGACAGCTCGTTGTTGTTGTTGTTGTTGTGGTTGTCATTTTAGGACCCTGACCGATGACTCCCCTCTGGGTCTGCGGAGGATCCTGTCTCAGTCCACAGACTCCCTCAGCTTCAGGAACAGAGCCATGTCTGTGGAGTCTCTCAACGATGACGGTAATCGAACAGAGAAGTCTATAAAAGTGAAGATGGCTCATGATTAAACACACAACAGAACATGTCATGAGACACAGTTACTGTTCAAATCCTGCTGAATGGAAAAGGAAATGCCAAAAGACTCCGACATGATGAGGCAGAAAAACTCTTATCAGGTGCTGCTCGGATTCATGCGGTGGAAAAGTTCAGATTAATGTGATTAACAGCTTGGTTGGCTCACTTTATGACGGCGTCAGAGTTAACCGTTGCTAAGGAGAGAGCTCTAACTGTAGATTGCAATTCAATAAAATAGTCTCCAAATCTATATTTTGTTTTAAATGATTGATTTGAAGTAAGTAGCGGTGCAATAAGTGGGATAATGTGTCGTGAGCAGGTTGTTGTGAGCAGGGCCCCCTCCAGACACCTCATCAAAGCTTTGTTATTGTTTTAAAACACAGCTGATTGGAGGAGGAGAATGAAAGTATCATGCGACAAGAGAAAAGCTGCAGTTAGCATCTGGTTCATGAAATCAATTCTCAACAGCAGGAGGATCGTATAGCTCCATAAAGTGTCTTAAATCTTTCCTGCTGCCGGTCTCCTCTTGTTCAGGTGAGATCTACTACACCTCGGTCCTGGAGGAGATCGAGTACGAGGGTCAGGACTTTAAGGCGGACTCGTGGAGCATGGCGGTGGACAGCGGCTACCTGCAGACACACCGTAAAAACATCATCAAGAGGCAGGACGTCATCTATGGTGACCAGAACATCCTCCACCCCCCCGCAGCACGTCATCCATCTTTATCTGTCTCCTTTGTGACCTGATCCTCTCTGACTCCGTCTGTCCCCAGAGCTGATCCAGACGGAGCTGCACCACATGCGGACGCTGCACATCATGGAGCGCGTGTTCAGGCAGGGCATGCTGGACGAGTTGCAGCTGGACCCGAGCACCGTGCACGCCATGTTCCCCTGCCTGGACCAGCTCATCAGGATACACTCGCACTTCCTCGCGCAACTTCTGCTGCGACGCAACCTCAGCCTGCACCCCGGGTCCAGCCGAAACTTCACCATCCACCAGCTGGGAGACATTCTGCTGGAGCAGGTGACACACACACACACACACACACACACACACACACACACACACACACACACACACACACACACACACACACACACACACACACACACACACACACACACACACACAACTTCAAATCTGAAAACAAGTCTGAACAGAGGCTGATGTTAGAAAACTTTCTCTCACTCGTGTTAACACAGACTAAACCAACCTGTGTGTGTGTGTGTGTGTGTGTGTGTGTGTGTGTGTGTGTGTGTGTGTGTGTGTGTGTGTGTGTGTGTGTGTGTGTGTGTGTGTGTTCCTCTGTTAGTTCTCAGGTCAGTGTGCAGACGACATGAGGAAGACGTACGCTGAGTTCTGCAGTCGACACTTGAAGTCCGTTAAACATTACAAAGAGCTGCTGGCCAGAGACAAGAGGTTCCAGTGCTTCATACGGGTCAGACACACACACACACACACACACACACACACACACACACACACACAGTTTTATTGATGAGAGAAAAGTGCAATGATTTGAGCAGTTTCCACACTATAAACAGAATAAATTGAGTTTATAAATTGAAATAAAGCTGATTATTACTCATGTACTGCACGAGATCTGCCTCTTTTTATGACTGTATAACTATTCACGTCTGTCCATTGAGCACACGCACACAGCAGCCATTTTTCTCTGACGTCATTCTGAGGTTGAAAGTAAATAAGGTGTTATTTTTTCAGTCTTGCTTTGTTCCAGGTTGTCGCTGTTACAAACTTACAGAATCGGACAAATCATCATCTCAGCTCTCGTTATTCTTTCACATAAGAAAGAATAAAAACATGAGGAGGCCATATCTCAAATTAAATTAGAAGAGCTGATTTAAAGACGTCATTTTAGCCACATCATGCTAATGTTAGCATTGAGCCTACTCCACGCTGTGTTAACGCTCCTTAATAAAAAATATGACGACAAATGTGCGTCGTTGAACGTTTTTCCACAAAGAAGACGAGAAGCCGATGAGCTAAAAATAGATCATTGATAATAAAAACTGACGATATAAATGTTTGCCACTAGAGGCTGGTTTTTGTTTAAGAGATGAGACGGGGCTAAAATGTTCTTCTAGTTTTTATTGGTTGTTTGCAAACCACCTCAGAAGTAAACTAAGGGCGGCTGTGGCTCAGTTGTAGTGTCAGTCATCTCTCAACCAGTAGGTCAAGGGTTTGTTTCCCAGCTCTTGCAGCCACATGTCCGATGTTTCCTTGGGAAAGACACTTAACCCTAAGTTGCTGCTTCATCAGCGGTGTGTGAATATGTGTGAATGGATGTAAAAGCACTTTGAGTCGTCAGAAAACTAGAAAAGAACTAAACAAGCTCAAGTCCATTTACCATTGGACTGCCCCCTACTGGACAAGAACTGAATAACAGGACTGTTGTCATGGCGACAGCACAGTTGAAGATAATCCTCAAATTTTCCGTCTTTATTTAACCTTCTTTCTTTTCTCCTGTTCCTTCATTTTAATAATCTTAAATAATCATAAAACAGAAATAACTCATGGAGCTCTTCTTTGCAGCGGGTGAGTCGGGGGCCGTTGCTCCGTTGCCATGGCGTCCAGGAGTGCATCCTGTTGGTGACTCAGCGTATCTCAAAGTATCCTGTTCTGGTTCAGAGGATTCTGGATAACACCACAGGTGAGTCAGCATAAAAAACACGTCACAGCTGCTCTTTTTTATTGAGACACTTATGATTACATTTAGACAAATAAAGACACTGATCTCACTTTAAGGTCTACTTTAATACAACAAAATGAAAGACGGAAACAAACGCACATCTCTGGGATGGTCACATCCTAACTCTTCAATCAAACCATAAAGACATATTTATGAAATCAGCTTTATCAGAGTTTGTGTTTCACATATGAAGAAGTTTATGAAATCCCATTTTACAAACACAAATATAAAAACTGTGGGATAATTAATTTACTGTTTCTATAGTTTCTGTGTATTTTAATCAAACCAATGCGGAAGTGCAAAATCCTGCAGTTCCTCTAGTGTCCACTAGAGGCTGGCTGTAGAAGCACAGGAAGTCACATACACACCCATTCAAAAAGCCTGTGTTTACAGCAGAGATTAACATGTTTACAGCCTGGTTCAGAAAAAAAATAGGTCTGATTCGCTCAGGTCTCGATCGGCACACACTGTAGGGGGCTGAATTTTTTGATGACTCATCAGTTTGGTTTTAAGAACGATACGTGTTATCCATAGTTAGGCGTATAGCTGACATGATTGACAGGTGGGTGTGGAGTAGCGGTTTGTCAGATGCTTAAAACACGTCTCAGCTCCAGCTCTCAGCCTGTCGTGAGGTTGACTGAAAGTTAGGTTGAGACAGCATTTCCAGTATGGAGACCGCCATCGATGGGACTCCAGCGCCCCCTACAGGAACAGAGGGTTGACATAACTCAGGCTTCAAACATTCAGATTTACAGTCTGTGATTTTAACGCATTTACCTCTACAAAAATCCTTTTTGCTTTGAGGCTGATTCTTGCACTAAACAAAAACAAAAGTAACTGATTGTGTTTCTGTATTTTTTTCTCCTGCAGATGATGAAGAAGAAGCGTCCTCTCTGGCTCAGGCTCTCTCCATGGTCAGAGAACTTCTGAGTTCAATCGACCAGCAGGTACAAACAACCTCTCTGAGTGATGTAACGCTTTCTTCTTCTGAATTTGAGCTTCTCATCATGACCTTCTGCAAAAACCTGCTAAAACGTATTTTCTCCTTTATTGTAAGACTAAAGTCAGACTATTAAAAAAATCAAACAAAGAAAACTAAACGATAAAAACAGGATGGTTAACAAACGTTTCATTTAACACATAAAACGAGATGTTTGCAGTCATGCTTGGTGCTGATGTTTGTGCATCCTGATGTTCAGATGGAGGATCTGGAGAAAACTCATCGTCTGCAGGAGATCCAGGCCAAACTGGACCCGCGGGCCGAGACCAGAGTCCGGGACGGTTCCCTTTTTAAACCGGGAGAGCTCTTCAGGCGTAGACTCGTCCATGAAGGGACGCTGTACTGGAAAACACCCGGATCAAGGCTTAAAGGTACTCGGTGCTACGGCAACAAATAAGACTCTCAAATCGAGGTAGAGAATGATGTCACAACCCGGCTCTTAAGGCCAGACTCTATTATTGCACACCTCCACATTGCACTTCACAAGACTCTATACCAGCGGTTCTCAATTGGTGGGTCAGGACTCTAAAGTGGGTCGTGAAGGTGTTTTCAGTGGGAAGGTGTACCTTGAAGAGAAATTGTGTCAAAAGCTCGATAAAGCCCTTCTTTAAAAAGATTGTTTCATTCAGTTTCTTTGTTCTGTCACACTTCGTACCGTCTGAGGTCCAAACTGCTAAAATTTTCATGAAATAAAATCTGATTGATTGAAAAATATCAGAATTTTGGGTCGCGATTTTTCATGAAGGAGTCGGTGATGGGTCCTGAGACTCGACCAGTTGAGAGCCACTGCTCTATACAATATTTAGTTTGTGTCATGACTTTGAAGTTGGTTTTAGTCGGGTCTGATATTACTGTCGTTGTCTTTCTGCGTCTTCCTGCTGCAAAACAAAGTTCACCTTGTGGGACAATAAAGAAAACCTGAATCTGAATGTGAAGGTTGGGTAGTTTGGGTAGTTTAGGAAGTTGTGGCTGCAGGGTTGAACGTGTGATCATCATCTCTGTGTGTGTGTGCGCAGATATCCAGGTCCTCCTGATGACAGACATCCTGGTGTTTCTACAGGAGAAAGACCAGAGGTATATCTTCCCATGTCTGGTAAGAAAACCTTTTCTCATGGATCACTTTAGATTTGATTTTTATAAAAACAAATGTTCATGCTGCTATCTCTCCTCTGTGTGTGATCCAGGACAAACCACCAGTGCTGTCCCTTCAGAACCTGATCGTGAGGGATATAGCCAATCAGGATCGAGGGATGTTCCTCATCAGCGACTCGGCTCCTCCGGAGATGTACGAGTTTCACGCCGCCACCAAAGACGACAAGAACGTGTGGATCCGACACATTCAGCGCACCGTCAGCAAGTGAGGAGATTCACAGACACAAAAAATATTGAACGTTTGTTTTTGTGCAGCAACTGCTTGTGTTGTAGTCGAGGCCAAACTAACCGAGATCAAGACATACCTGAGACTGATACAAGACCGAGTCATTTAGGGATCCAGACCAAATCAAGACCAAGACCAAGACCAAGGCAGAGCGAGACAAGACTGAATAAAAAAGCTTTCAATCCTGAAACAAGACCAAGACCATCAAAAAGTGGTCTCGAGACCAAGACTGATTTCAAGTACTACAACACCAGCAACGGCCATCATAACAGAGGAAATAATCACAATCAGGCCAAACCACAGAAAGCTGTTCTCGTTCTGTAACTCGTGTAAATCTAAACGAATCACTCGTCAGCTTTTTACAGACTGTCAGTGGACGCTACACTGTTGCTGCGTTTGATGTCAGCTGGGCTGTTGTTTTCACTTCCTCAGTCTGAGACCTGAAACCAGCTTAACCTGCCCTGGTGTTCTGCAGAATAACCAACAACTGGAAGTCACACTACATACTATATGTAGCAGGCGGTTTCTAAACAGCCGTGGGTTCATTATTGCTGTTTAACCAGGAAATGTGTTCTGTGTTCTCAGGTGTCCATCGAGGGAGGAGTTTCCTCTCATAGAGACTGAATATAAAGCTCACCTGAGGAGACTCAAAGGTGAGAGACGAGACAAACAGAAAAGAAGCGCCTCCTGATACCAAAAACAAGAATTGGACATTGCTTAGAAGCTATGTGTTAAATCAACTCAGGTGTGATTTTAATAATCCTACATCCCCCCCCCCCCCCCCCCCCTCCCACACACACAGCTGACCTGCAGCAGAAGGACCGGGAGATGTTGGAGCTCCTGCAGGAGAGGGTGATGTTGTTCTGTGAGCTGACGGAGGTGACGAGCGGCCACGAGGGGCTTCAACCGCCCATCACTCGATATTTATTCAGAGCGGACACACCACAAGCCCCCCGAGCCGAGAAGCTGCTGATGGATGCCACCGCTGAGGGTAACACAACAAACTGTATCTCAAAGTATAACTGAGATTTAAAAATGACGCATGACACTTATAGAAAAGTGTGTGTGTGTGTGTGTGTGTGTGTGTGTGTGTAAAGTGGAGAGGTTGAGCGAGCTTCTTCTGGGCTCCAGCTTGGACATCCCTCTTCTGTATCATCACAACCACTTGGAGGCGCTAGAGACCAGTGAGTGAATTACGTCTCTCATACGACATAAAAATAAAAAAAACACAAAAATTCACACACGTAGAAGATGAAAAGCTGTGTGATGTGTGAAATCTTTATTTACCTTTGGTTACCTGTAGCTCAATAGTCCAGTGTTCTGTACTAAACCTGTTTATGGTTCCGGGTGTGACGCTGAGTGTTCTCTGTGTTTGTGTTCAGGTGATCAGGATCTGTTGGTCAATGGAGCTCATGATTTCTTTGCTTCAAAGGTGAGCTGATTGGCTGACAGGGGTGCAGTGGGCGGAGCTTTCAGAGGTGGTTCTGTGCTCTTTTTAAAGTTATGTTTTCTTTTCATCTTAAGGATTGTATGAGGAGTCCCGACCAGCAACCTCCCTCGGTAAATATAATTTAACCAAAAGACAAAGATCCCTCTGCGCGCAGCTACGTTCAGGAACGTTACCTTTAGAGACCGGCAGGTTTAACACCATTCCAGAGGAAGACAGAGTTTGTTTGTTGTGTGAGTTAGGTAAAACTGAAATGAGATGAGAATGAGACTGTCCGATCTGTGATGACATAAGGAATGTTCTTTTTTAGAAAATGGTCTTCTATTGAAGGTGATTTCTTTTGGTGAGATGATTGTGAAAAACTTGAGTTGTGTTTAAGAAGAGGAACCTTTTTTTTTTAGCAGATTTTATCTGCAAAGCATGCTGGGAGAAAAGACAGAACACACTGTTTAAGCCTGTTTAAGACTGAGCTGTGACAGAAACAAGCAACTTTGCAATGTTATGAAATGTTACTGTAAACCACTGCAACTGGGTTTCTGGTGTCGTATAAACCCATGAGTGTTGGGGACTTTGGTGCATGACACGTAAATAATTACAGTCAATCAATCAAACGTACAGGCGGTTAAGGTTTCTTAGAGTGTGTTCTCATGTTTGTGTAAACTATTTTATATTGTGATGAATAAGTTGAATGATTGTAAAGTATATTTTTCTGCCTGTGTTTTCAGGAGATCTATCAGAGGCTGGTGAATCTCAGTGTTTATCTTCACGCTCTTCAGGTGAGAATCTCTCTGACCTTCAACACATCTGATTCAAAATAGTGCTCTGTATTAAATAAACATTCTTGATAAAGATGCAGAAAACTGTGAGGGGATAGTCATCCAGTTATCTTGAACGCCTGAACATTTTTTTAAATCTTGAAAATATATTTAAATTAACTCTTGTGTGTAAACTTAGATAGATTCAGTCAATTTTGTTGTTTTCTCGATCGCCTGCTGCAGGCTGCAGTCATCAAACAGGACTCCATCTTGGAGCTGCTGCTGCAGCCTCAGGACGCAGCGTCCCCAGGTTCAGGAGGAGCGTGGCGCCCCCTTTGGCGGGACGGTGGAAATCGTGAGTCCAGTGCGGGTTCCACCATCGGGGAGCTGGCTCTCCTGCAGAGACAGCATAGTCTGCTGCAGGAGGAGCTGCTGAGGCTGAGAGACGCAGAGAGCCGCTACAAAGACAGCGAGAGGGCCCGGACCAAACTGGAGCGACAGGTCCGACACATGAAGGTCTGCAGTGGGGCCTCACCCAACCTCCAACAGCAGGTGGAGCTAGCATCACAGGTAGGGATGTTTGTACAGTGAAATAAGAGAGAGAGATCTTTCAAATACTTTAGATGAAACAGAACAAATATTCTAACTTTAGTCCGTAGCATCTCTCAGATCCAAAATAAGCAGAAACCCAACCATCCATTTTTTTACGTTTCGTTTAGAAATGAAGCTAACACAGAATTACCAAAACATGCAGTTTCCTGAGTGTCCACTTGAGGCTGTCTCTAAAAGTGAGACAACCCCCATAGAACCCCATTTTAAAATGTCCAACTTTACAGCAGGAATAAACATGTTTACAGCCTGGTACAAAAAGATTTATAGCTCTTTTCTTCATGAAAACTGTACCTGTTAAATTATATAAAGGCTTACAGTCATGTATGATTAGGGGCGTGGCCTCTGAGTGACAGGTGGGAGCTGCTAGCAGTCTGCTAGGTGTCACTGTGTTGTTGGAGCCTTTAAACTAATTTGCAGATTTTTGCAGTCTTTTATGTCTGAAGTCTCTTTTTCTTGTCTCGCTGTTACAGCAGGTGTCTCTACAAACAGGAAGGGGTGGTTCAACCGGAGCTGACCTACAGCGAGGCGGCAAGGAAGCTTTCAGACAATCAGACGGCCTACAGGATGGCAGTGATTTGGAGGCGGACATGACGTCAGACGAAGATGAGGGATCGGCATCTGAAAGCTCCAAAGGTCAGACAGCAGGAATAACACCCAATGACTGTAAATGTTCTTTATGATGGTAGAGTCAGTAGAAATGTTGGTTGCCGTTTGTAAACACAACATTCAAACTGGGCCCCTCCTACTGGGCTCATCGCCACTAGAAGTGCACGCCCACTGCAGGACATTTTACTGCTTGTTCCTACACTGCAAGCTGACGCAGGCTAGCACAAGCTAACCGCTGGCGTTTGGCACCTGACTGTTCAACAGAAAGCAGACCGTGGTGTTTCGCCTCACTATGATTTTATTTTCTCTTCTTTGCCACTACTTCCACGTCCGCAAGTCTAAGGGATAGAAAGCTGTTGACGTTTCTCTCCTTACATGATATTAAAGGTCACATATTCTCCTCCTCTTCAACCGGTTTAAATAAGTCTCAGAGCTCCTCAAAACATGTCTGTGAAGTTTATTGTTCTAAATCCACTCTGATCCTGTATTTGATCATGCCTATAATCCCCTCTATTTCAGCCCAGCTCAGAACAAGCTGTTTCTGTGTCTGTAGCTTTAAATATGTAAATGAGCTGTGTCTGACCACGCCCCCTCTCTAGAAGGGCTCTAGTGACTCAGGCTTTCTCGCTCCATGTCCTATTGTTTACAGTGAGAAGGCAGACTCAGAGGGCAGAACAAACACCTAGCTGTGGGAGTGTCACCCACCTGGGGGAGGGGTTACTGCCCTTTGTGATGTCATTAAGGGAAAATCTCCAAACGGCCTCTTTGAGCACACATTTTCTGAAAAGTGGAGCAGGCAAAAGACAGAGAGGAAGAACATTTCTCATCATTGGGGGGTTTGTAGACAGACTAGAAACACATATTATTGTAAGAAAAACATGGTGAAGTGGATTCTGTATAACATGTAACCTTCAAAGCAGAATAGTTGGAGGTCCGATGTATGTGGGGTTGTAACTTCAAATAGACTGACATTAACATTTTTTTATGGTTTTGTGGGACCAGAGGACTAACTTTTGATTGTTTCTTTCTTTCAGATCTTCACGATATCCCAGAAGAGATCTGATCCTCTGCATGAGCCACGGTGCTTCTCAGCTTGTAGTTTTAAGTCATAAAGATGTGAACTGATCGACTCTAACTCGGCACATTGTTGTGCTCTCTGGAGAAACACACACATACACACACACACACACACATACACACACACACACACAAACACAAAAAGCACAACAATGTTTATTTAGCTGCTTTGCTTTCTCGTCGTTGGCTTGTGACAGTGAGTTGTTTTATTTTCAGCTTTTGAATGAGTAGATTTCTGTTCTGACGTCGGGTGACTCAATGAGGGGAAAACTGATGGATGATGCTCTTATTTGACTTTATTTGAGCCGTAGATTTGACTCTGAAGGTTCGGACACTATTAGGGCTACTGTTTCAACATGTTGTGCCAAAGCAACTGCAGTCCAATAAATGTCAAATCAGGGACTTTTGAACTTTTTGTTCCAAACATTTAGAGAGTAAGAGGAGGAAACATTGTGAAAAATGGGTTTAATAATGCTATTTGCACTTTTGTAGTTCTTACCTGGTGATTATTTTAGACATAATTCAGTCTCTCTATGAGCAGGATGGCATCGTCTTGCAACATTTGAAACAAAAACCATGATGTGACATTTTAAATAATTTTGCTCTTTTTAGAAATAAAAAATATAAAGTTAAACTAATGTTCCTTCTAGAGTTAATCTAGGCATAAATACCAGAAAACATGCACAATGTTCAAAGCAATCCAGTCAAACCATCCTGCAATAAAAGCTGCTGTCACAGTGCCTCGCTACTCTGAAAGTGTCCCCGTCTGCTCTGGCTTCAAGCAGCCTACATCATTATTTTAATCGTAAATAGAGACGCACCGATTCCAAGGTTTTTCATAAGGTCTCCTCGATTTTATAGATCACAGACTCCTCTTAGGAAATAAGCCAGTGTGCTAGTTTTAAGCCTTTTTAGGGCGACCTCAAGGTTTATATCTGAGACCCCTGATTGTTCTCCCCTCCCTAACTCCAAAGTAAAAAACAAATGTTAACATCTCGCCGTCTTCCATTTTCTGATCTCACTTTTCGCAGGAATAAACCATTTTGTGGGTCAGTGCCTTTCCGAAACCTTTAGAGATGACTGTTACAGGAAAGATTCAGAGGTCTGTTTAGTAAATTATCTTTTCAGGGTTGGGTTAAAATATATCAAATGAAAACACTTTAAAAACCTGGTTATTGGTTGGAGCTCAAACAAACAGTGCCGGCCCAGGTCAACGGCACACAGAATTATTCCCTCCTGACCTCTAACACCGTGACCTAACCGCACGCCAGCGTTAGATATCACATCGCGTCGCACATGATCGAAGATTGAAGGTGGACAAACGGTTGTGTGGTGACTCAAATCACAACTCAGAGGCTCGTTAAAAGTGAAAAGCAAGTAACCTTGTAGCGCCTTCTCCTTCCTTCTTCCTCGTCCGTCTACGCGAGTGACCAAGAGGAAAATAGAAACAGGACGTCAGGGTCAATACGGCGCAAACAATAGAATCGATCGTATGCAGGTCACGCTTACACAACAAAAGTTTCAGCCCAAAAAACGTAAACTTTAGTCGCCTTTTGGCTGTTGGTTTTACACGACAACGGCGTGTAGTGGGCCTCGACATACAGAGTGCAAACTTTTGAAAAACGGCAACTCAACTGAGAATAAGACTTAATACACATGAGCATTACGGCTTCAGTCAAACGTCTTCAAACGGATTCTAGAGTCTGGGGCCCTTGGTAAAAATCTGTGGGGGGGGGCCCTCCAACCAGCATCCATCACCATTACGTCTGCCATTGTCCCAACGAGAACTCCCTTTTTTTCCTGTTTCTTTTTCCTCTTCTACAGACGAATAATTCCTCTTCATTTTTCTTTTTTTTTTACTTTCACTGACGGACTTTGCTTTTCACAGCAAGTCTAGCAAGAGTGCAGTCAGATGGGGCCCCCTTCAGGAGGTTTCCTACTTTGCACATTTTGGGCCACTGCTTTGCTTTAAGTTTGGGAGCGCTCAAAGGGCCCCCTACTGGTCTGTGGCCCCAAGCAGTGACCTGCCATGCCTGTTGACAAACAGCGCCTCTGTGTGGGTGAGTACAGTAGGTGGACTACAACAAAAATGGTGGACTCGTGTGTTCAGTTTGTGCTGCTTAGTTGACATTTGCTAGAAATGTATCGGCTTTGTAGTTGAGGGTCACGTGGAGTAGAAACCCAACCTCATCGTCCGTCCATTTTCGTTTGTTTTTGTTAGATCATACCAGACGATAACAACACACTACATGATAGAACTTACACAATACTATCGGTGTGACTGATTTTATTACACAAAAAGACGACTGAGCTGCTAATAAATACTATAGTAACAGATTAAATGTAGCTGTTGAAGCACAGAGCAGCCATGTTGGACTGTAACTCAGGCTACTGAAGGTTCGTCGAGTTTCCAAGTCCGAATTCAGACTTCAGGGGGGCATTCCTGACTACTTGTCAGACCATGCAGTCCGACTTTCTGACTTCCGAGATCAAATGGAACGAGTCACTACAACCTCATGGCTCTGTGGAAAAAGAGAATGTGTGCATGTTGTTTCATTACCAAGTTACACTGCCATCTACTGGTCTGACATATGTACTACAGTGTTCTTTCTCATTTTATTGGAGCTATGTGTCATCAAAAAGTCGCCTGAACATGTAACTTTTTTGATAACGAAAAATGATTCCGTCCTCAGAGGATCTTCTCGTGTGAACGTGGCCTTAGACTCGTGGCTAGAATCAGAAACAAATACCACAAATATCATCGTAATTAAATCCATTTTTATGGCTCTTTTATTTTCCTCGCACACTCCACAGAGTTATTAAAGGGAACCAGCCGATGATCGGAGAGAAAACAGGAAACGAAACGGGGCTTCATATTTATGTTTAAGAGAAGTTTATATCTGTTGTGTTTGGCCTGATTGTTTTGCATGTTTTTAAACCTGAATACAACCCCCCCCTTTTTTTCTAAAGACCGCAATAGAATTAAACTTTGAGCTTTATTGTGTATTTATCCATAAAAATTTCTAAGATGTATGGGGACTCTATCTATCTATCTACATACCTATCTATCTATCTACCTACCTATCTACCTACCTATCTACCTATCTATCTACCTACCTACCTATCTATCTATCTATCTACCTACCTACCTATCTACCTACCTATCTACCTACCTACCTATCTATCTATCTATCTACCTACCTATCTACCTATCTATCTACCTACCTACCTATCTATCTATCTATCTATCTACCTACTATCTATCTATCTATCTATCTACCTACCTACTATCTACCTATCTATCTACCTACCTACCTATCTACTATCTATCTATCTACCTACCTACCTATCTATCTACCTATCTATCTACCTACCTACCTATCTATCTATCTATCTACCTACCTATCTATCTATCTATCTACCTACCTACCTATCTATCTACCTACCTACCTATCTACCTACCTACCTACTATCTATCTATCTATCTATCTATCTATCTACCTACCTACCTATCTATCTATCTACCTATCTATCTATCTATCTACCTACTATCTACCTACCTATCTATCTATCTATCTACCTACCTACCTATCTATCTATCTATCTACCTACCTACCTATCTATCTATCTATCTACCTACCTACCTATCTATCTACCTACCTACCTATCTACCTACCTACATATCTATCTATCTATCTATCTATCTATCTATCTGCTGAATCAGAGGGATATTATCCTCAGGATAAGCTTGCTGTGTATTTTAATTGTAAATAGCGTGGAGCGTGCTGAGTTATGCAAATGTTCTTGTGGCTGCAAAATGAACGTGACCTTTACACAGCCGCTAGAGATGAGAATGTTACCGCTGTACCTTTACCTGTATCTACTTTACTGATATGAATGTATGTGTGTGTGTTTGCTAAAAGTTGGGGTTGATGAAGAAATATGGAGATGTATGAGATAACGCCATGAAGTATAAGATATTATAATTTAAACAGACACTGAATTTGTGTAATATGCCGAACCGGAAACAAGGGCTGTACTTTTGTTTGCACACATTTATCGTCTTTAATGTGAATTGAAAATGCTACTTAAAGATTAAACATGTATTACAAACTGTGTTGCATCGTGATTGTGTTGTTGTACTTCGCTGGAGAAAGAGCTAGTCGTTATGAACGTGAAGATAATGGGGGGGGGGGTTCACGCTCTGATATCAACTTCAACTTTATAATGAAATCTGGAGCAAGCAACAAGACACGACAGATACACCAAAGACAACTTGAGGAGTTCAGACATACATAAAATCCACAGGTCTAGTGAAAAACAGGAACTTCAACCACACCGAGTCAAAAATACAAATATAAAAACAGCAAAGCAGATTAAGCTTTTTATCTACAACAGGCATAAAAGAAAGCCTCATTATTTTGGATTGAGGCATTCTGTAACGACGGCAAGAAGGAGATCAAACTCGACAAAAAGAGTTCTGCATATTTTCTCCAACTTTCTGTTTCCATATTGGTGGAGGACTGTGCTGGATGGACTTGAATGCCCCTTGGTTCCTCTACATGTTTTTGGGCCCCAGGTCCTTCAGTTGTGTCAGTGAGATGGACATTTTATTTTCCCAGACATTTTATTGAGTTTTCATCAGTTGAGGTTAAAAACTGTCATTATTTGTTATTGTTTAGTTTTATATTTTCTATCCTCGAGTTGCTTGTTTCCCAATAGTGTGTATTTTTATTTCCTAGTTTAGTCTGTAGTGTTTCCTGTTTTATTTTGTAGTTCTTGTCCCCAGTGTTCTTTTACTTCCTCCCTTTGTCTGGTTTCTCTCCATCTTGATCGCCCTGATTGTCTTCACTTGTGTCTGATTACCCCTGAGTCTTTTTAACGATATCAACGTTTCTTCCCTCTTGTTGTCTGTTCACACCCGTGCGATGTTTCCTCATGGCTCCTTGTTTCTCGTTTGGATTTTTTGTTGCACTTTGATTTGAATTTGGACTTTAAAGAAGGTTTTTGTTTGGGTCCAGTTCCTTATTCTTCCTTTGAAGAGACAATAACCTTTCTCTCAGTGTCCCATTTTTGATCTCCATGCTTCTTCACTTCTTTGATTTTATCTTCATTATTGTTTTTGTTGCTTCTTCATCATGGCCTCCTTGGTGCACCTTGGAGAGAAAGCCTATCACAGGAATCCTTTTAGATTCCCTGCTAGGAGCAGGAATCAGGTCCTGCAGCTGGCCCCTGAAGTGGGCCATCTTGAAATGTAACTTGAGTCCTTGAATGCAGCAGATGATCACTCCCCTGATGTGGCGATGGACGTGTTGCTGCGTTAATGAGGCTGTGAGGGATTGATACGAAGTGGACCCGGAGAGTTTTTAGATCGCCTTTGCTCTCCTTGGCTTCCAGGATCGGGTTTAAGGACTCACAGGTGGTCTGAGAACATGCAGAGAAGACTAGAATGCTGCTCTTCTGGAAAGACGAACAAATGCGCCCGCTCTTCATAATGCAGGGCGTCATCCTTCTGGACAAGAGAGAGCGAGAGCTTACCTTCAACTCTTACAAGAGACAAGTGATCGTGGAAATATATGTAACATGTGTTTTGTTACTTAGGACTAATAAAGCTTTGTCATAATGACAGGATGAAAAAATCCATCAATATGATGTATCACACTTGGGTGTGCAAAATCGTGCAGTTTGTCAAGTGTCCACTAGAGGCTGGCTGCAGGAACACAGGAACTCACATACACAACCATTCAAAAATGTCTGTTTTTACAACATACATTAACATGTTACAGCCTGATTTAAAAAAAAAACAACAGGTCTGATTAGCTCATGTCTCGATTGGCACACACACGATTGGGTGAATTTGTCATCAATTTGATATATGAACAATACGTGTTATCCACAATAAGGCGTGTAGCTGACCTGATTGTGGGCGGGAGTAACGGTTTGTCAGGAGGCTTAAAACCCGCCTCAGCTCCAGCTCTCAGCCTGTCATTAGGTTGACTGAAAGTTAGGCTGAGACAGCATTTCCAGCACGGAGACCGCCATCGATGAGCCTCTAAAGCCCCCTGTAGGAACAGACGGGTGACATCACTCAGGCATCAAACATTAACATCAACACAGCCTGGCTGCCTGTTCCAGCTCTCTGATTGGTTACATGGGCTGTCAATCTATCTGCACAATCCAATAACTAGACAACATAAGTAAACGCCCCCTGAGGGCAGGATAAGTCATCAGACATTTCAAACGTTTTACAGGAAAAGAAAACACAGTCATTCAGATGTTTCTCAGATAATGTTTATTGAAATATGTAAGACAGTTAAATAAACATTTAACACAGAACACTGGATTAATAATGAATAATTAATGTTTCATGTCATGTTAGTTCAAAGTAAAATTTCTCCAAGCATTAGAGTAACATCTAAAAAAGTTTAAATGTTCAAAATAACCATTTCTGTAAAGATGAAGCAGCTCAGGTTTAACCTCCTAACAATGAATTCTAAACAACCCCTAATATTATATATAGCCCGCTCCCCTTAATACCAGCCTGGAGCCCTGACACCATATACAGTAGAATAAGAGTCCCATCAGGCCCACCAGTCAGCCAACAAGATCCCCCCAGATCCTGTAATAGAAAAGGTCACGCACACGCACACACACACACACACACACACACACACACACACACACACACACACACACACACACACACACACACACACACACACAATGAAGAGGGGTAACTGATAAGAAACGCAGCAGTTTATCGATGGTTTGAAGTTCTTTCCACATTGTCCCGGTGTTCATCGCATTGTAAACTTCATCACAGAGGGTGACACTTAAGCAGGAATGATGTACCTTTGTCTCTGCAAATGTGTGTGTGTGTGTGTGTGTGTGTGTGTGTGCGCGCACAGCTGCAGACACTGCAGTCTCTAATTCTAATCCCTGAGACAATGTCAGCCAAAAGATGTTTATTAATAACCGCAGGGGCCCGGAGAGGGGAATATCTGACATACCCCCCCCCAACTCTCCTCAACAAACACACACACACACACACACACACACACACACACACACACACACACACACACACACACACACACACACACACTTGTCTGTGTACCCCGTGTATCCTCAGGAGAGGGGGACAGTTATAGACGTTACAGGCCAGGTGATGGAGTTGAGTTTCAGCCTCATGCATTCCTCCCTGCTGTTCATTTTCTATTGTCTTTGTTCTCTCAGCTTATATCACACCAGCGCTCTGAAATGCTCTTTCAACATAAAACACGTCCTCACGCTGACTCTACTCAGCGTTTGGGGCGGAGGGGAATTAGCAGGATTTGACAAAAAAACGAAAGCATATGTTTCTCTGCTAAAGCTTTTTCTCCTCTGAACTTGAGGCATCTCATCCATTCGAGGCGTGTCCTTTCTGTCAGAGTGAGAAAGTGAAGACGGATTCTTCAGCCTGTTAAATATACGGGTTACCTGAGGAATACTCACAATAATTAACAAGAACAAGAAAAGTAGGATACCATACAATAAATCACAACTGGATCTCGGAGTAATTTTGAGCAGAATCCTCCTCGTCTTCCTCCTCCTACTCCTCCTCTTTTTCCTCCTCCTCTTCTTCCATTTTCTCCTCAGTAATGTGTTGTTCCTTGTAACATCTGTTTTGTATTCTGTGTTTCAAGATGGATGTCGATCTTGCCGGCTGCAAACAAATCTTCCAACGCTTTCAAATAAAATAACCTGAACCTGAAGCAGCAAAGCATCCATACAGGTTCCTCTTGGCAACATGAACATATCCATTGTTTTCTCAGGATCTTGACTTATTTAAGTCCCTCGAGTTTTATCTGAAATCAGTAAACCTGCATTTTCGTTTGCTGCCCCAAAACTCCCAGAAAAAAGACCCAGAACGCACTCCAGCAAGCTCGAAAGAGTGGAGTTCTTCCCTCTCTTGCAGAGTTTAGGATTTTGAATTTTAGCCGCATTGTTTCTGATTTCCAAAGTGTTTTAACTGATTGCTGTTGTCTTTGTATTTGATTATATACTGGATGTGATTCAAAGGCCAAATGTTTAGTGGTTTGACTTTAAAAAAAAATCCAGGCTGGACACGAAGAGGCAGGGCGTTTCAGAGCTTTCCACAAAAAACACTTTTCTCTTTTTTATGGGTATAGAAGTGAGTTTGTCCGTTCAGTCACACATCCAGTATCAGAACCCATCATAAACATCTTTAAAAGGGGGGTTGATAATCTCTGATTATTTAGTTGGGGATACACTGCAGACGCGATGACATCATTACATCACTGTGATGACACATCAGCGTTCAGTGTTTACATGTTTATGTCTCTTGACACATTACCCCCCATCGACAGAGAGCCAGAGTCCTGACATCACATCCTGTCACTCAGCTTGTTCACATCACTTGAATGCCTCGACGTCATCTTCACTTCTGTTCGAATAAAACGATCCAAACACTGAAATCATCTCAGTGCGTAAAATGTAGAGATGAGCTCACTGTTTATTTTTTACCTCTAAAATCACTCCAAAGATCGTCTTGTTCGAATGAAACCAAACCCGACGAACAATAAGACAAAGGTCACTAGAGGTCGTTTCAAATGGACCAAATGGCTCAGGTGTGAATGCACCCTAAATGACCTGAGATCAGTTGAAACACATTTTTTGTGAAATTACAACTTTATTCTGGAAGTTTTATTTAAATTGTATTTACAAAAATGTCAACTTTTTTTTACATTTAGACATTAATCTCAACGCTTCATCTTTTTTCTTGAAGTGCATAAAGAATACAAAATCTTCCTCCACTCATTCTTTATCTCTCGAGCCCTGCCCCTCTTCTGTACTTTTTGAAATGCCATACGTGATAGGCTACATGTGATTTCTCACTCCTATTAACAGGCATCAACAGATCCGCTGCCACCATCTCACATCACATCTTCCTCTGTAAACTGTGACGGTGTCGGATGGATGAGAGATTGTTTTAGTGCTCGGCTCCATTACGGGCAGCAGCAGCTGTTGTTTCTCTGCACGCCGGACACGACAATAAGAGAAATCAAACAAACACAAACGACTTTTTAAAGAGTCTTTTAAAGGCGAACTGAGAGCTTCTGTGAGATCTGAGAAAATACTTTTAAAAAACAACAACAGGATCAATTTACATCACCCAAAAAACAACAGACTTCTAATTTATAGAGATATTTATTTAGTCATATCAGAACTTTGTGGAGTCTATAATCTGAGAAGTGTGTGTTCAACATGTTTTCTTACAGCATCCTTTACTTCAATATTAGATAAAGTATTTGAATCAGGAGCAGGAAACTCTTTCCAAAGTTGTTTATTTCGATTTAAAACCAAAATCTCTGAAGCATCTAGACGACGGCAGTTTTTTGAATCCAGATGTTCTGAAGTATTTGTGTCCCTAACAAAGAAAACATCCTCACTAACATTTAAATACACAGATTCACTTTCCATGATGTGGTGACAGTGAGGCTGAAGGAGGGTGGGAGGGTGGGGTGATGAGGGACTCAGAAGTGGGGGTGTCTCCTCCCCCTCCTCCTCCTCTGTCGTATAAATGTCCTCCCTCCCCGGTTCACAGTCTCCACCCGTCTGTCAGGCTCTCAGGTCAGCTGTCCAGCACCCGTTCTTCTTCTTCTTCTTCTTCTTCTCTGCTCTCTTCGTGTGTGGCTGCAGTAGCCCCGTTAACCCTCAGCCAAGATGGAGGCCATCAAGAAGAAGATGCTGATGCTGAAGCTGGACAAGGAGAACGCTCTGGACCAGGCGGAGCAGGCGGAGGCCGACAAGAAGGCGGCCGAGGATAGGAGCAAACAGGTGGGTGGAGGACACAGGGGTCCAGATCCAAAAGAAACTGGTTTCATCTGATAGAGTGAGTCAGGACATCCTCTGTGTGCAGAAACATAAATATCTGATATGATCTGAGTTAGTGTCTAGAGGAAATATTGAAGGATGCATGGTCCTTTCACATTACGGATCTGACTATCAGCAGAGGTTTGAAACTGAGACCTGGACCTGGCTGCTACGTGAAGGCCTGATGGTTAAAGGTTAAATAATTCTTAACTTCCTGTTTTTTTTAATTTTGTACTGGATTTAACCTCATACAGTTACATATCAAAGATTATGAGCTTTAATGGAGACTTCACACTACACACTTTGTCCACAGGGGGGCACCAAAATCACCACAAACTGAAAGATCCTCGCCGCAGTTTTAAATGAGACATTCACTTTTAGGTATTGATGCTATTAGGTGAAATATATCTTAAAGATTTATTTTGGGGCTTTCGTGCCTTCTTTTAGGCTATGCGGAGAAAGTGGGGAATGAAAGAGCCGCAGGTCGGGCTCAAACGCGGGCCCCCTCCATTGTAAGGCCATCGGCGCCTACGAGGACAAAATTCCTTTTTGTAAACTCTAATGTGTTCTGTTTCTACTTTTTTTATTTTAAGGGATTCAACCCTTAAAGAAAATATCTGGAAACATGTCTATATGATAAACCTTTTATTTGACCTACTTACAAGTTTTCTCACATTTTCCCTGATAGCCTGTCAGAGTCCAGCCCTCTACTCGGGTTCAAATTCAAAATACCTTTATCAAATCCCTCTGAGGGCAACTGGTTTGGAGCAGCTTACCATAGAAGATATAAATAACAACACAGTGACGTCACAGTGATGTCACAGTGATGTCACAGACAACAACAATTAAGATCTAAAAGTCTTATCCTGTGAAAAGAAAAGAGAATATAAATAAACTGTGGCCCTAACTGTGGTGAACAACGCGTTTCGTCCGCAGCTTCCTCAGGTTCGCGCAGCATGCAGCAGGCGAAACGCGTTGTTCGCTCACAATAAAGTGACAGCAAAGTAAGTTTCAGTGTAGCACGGTTTATGTTTCCATCGGCATCTGAGGTCGAGGTTGGCTGTGCACGTCGTTCCCTGTTGGTGGTTTATATCAAAATTAAATTATCCTACTCAAAAGTTTAAACAACACAAGCTAAAGACTTCATCCATTCAAAAAAGTTAGATTACCTGATCTGGTATTTTTATTTCTTTGAACAAATCGGTCACTTTGATTTGAACAGATTGCGTTTTTACATCCAGACTCCGATCTCTTCTTTGTTATGTTGCTCTAAATCTTTCCATAGATTTTTGTGTGTCCACTTTTGACACATAAAGGATAGGCGTATATTAAGAGAGGGAAAAAAACATATTTTAAAGTGGAACAGATGGCCTAGCGGTTAGGTTGCACTACATGTATGGAGGCTGTAGTCCTCCAAGAGAGCAGTACTGGTTAGAGTCTCTGACCTGCGGCTCCTTTATTCCCCACTCTCTCTCCCTCCCTTCCTGGCTTCCTGCTCTATCCACTGTCCCGTCATATAAAGGACAAAAAAACGTAAAATGTGAAATCTGAAAACATACATATATTGTCCGCTGGGTCCCTCACTAACATTATGGATGCACTGTCACCTTCATGAACGTCCCTCATTCCTGCATGGAACACTGTTTGCTTTTCTTCACTGAAAAATGGCTGAACAGGAATATAAAAGCCACAAGCTGGATTGAACCGGACAAACCCCTGATATTTCTACCAGCAGAAAAAGTCATGATGATGGTGAAAAACTCTAAGGAAACTCAGGAGCAAGGCCACCAAAGATTGACATCGAAAGAGGAATTACGAGCGGCCAATGTGGTCCAAAAGAACCGAGAATCCATGACTGAGCTGACCCCCCTTTATGAAAGGTTTATGAGTGTCCTCAAACAGCCTGTCCAGGTCCTCATCATTCACCTCTGGTACCACTCAAACCTCTGCTGGGGACGCCATGTCAATAACATCATCATGTCTCATCGTTTGGCCTGAAGAACCTCCCTACTGTTGGACCATCTGCAGATAAAATACCAGATACACATTGAAGAGGAGGATGCTAAACACGTCATGACACTAGAGACCATCTCACTGGAGACGCAGTGAAGAAATGCATCATTGGGGGGGATTTTCATTACTCCCACTCAGCCATGATAAAGGAACTTCCAATCTGGAATGACATGCAGGAAAGAAGCCACAGGTCGAACTCGAACCTGGGCCGCCCACCCAGAGGACAAACACCAATGGGGCGCATGGGGCGCACACCAACCTTTACACCACCGAAGGCGCAACTGTTGCTGTTTTGTTTCTCTCAGAGTCCTCAAAATAATGGTGTAAACGTATGATGCACACTTAGCTATAAAAGACTATAAAAAGTTTGCAGTTCTGTTTTCGAAAGAGTCAGACAGTTTTTTTTCTTCAAGTTATGGGTGATTCTAGAATCTGTTGGGGCCCCGGGCAAAGATTCATTGGGGGCCCTCCAACCAACATCCATCACCATTTTGTCTGCCAGCTTCCTGACATTTACTCGTCTTCCTTTTTCTCTTTTTCTTTTTAGATAATTCCTCTTTATTTTCCCGCCGTGACTTTCATTGACAAACTTTTGTTTTCAATGCAAAAATGCATGCCACGCCTAGCAGGGCAACGAGAGGGAGGGCTGTCAGATGGGACCCCCTTTACGGAGGTTTCCTACTGTCATTGCAAAATTGTCAAATTTTTGAGCCACTGCTGCATGTGGTTTAAAGTTTGTCAGCCTAAGGCAAGCAGTTGCTAAATGTGGCCTTGTCTGTTGACAAACAGCAGGAAGTTTCATATCATATCTCATAATCCAAATTTTTAAAATGAAGAGTGGGTTTCTGTTCTGTGTTTTGTCTCCATTCTTTGCCTGTAAACAGAAGTGATCAAAGGCTGATTTCTTTAGAGCTAATTTGAACAGGAGCAGTGATGAAAGCATGTATGTAGAATATATGGATGTTACTATATCTCTGATTTGTCCAGTTTTAGCTGATGTGCTAACGTGTGTGTGATCTCCTCCCTCAGCATGAAGATGAACTCCTGCAGATGCAGAAGAAGCTGAAGGGGACGGAGGACGAGCTCGATAAATACTCTGAGGCTCTGAAGGACGCTCAGGAGAAGCTGGAGGTGGCCGACAAGAAGGCTGCTGATGTGAGGAAATCCTTCATTCTTTATTTTAACCTATGATCTCAGTGAGATACAAGATCTCAAGACAGCAGCATAAAAGTTAAAAATCACTGTAACACGATCAGTCCAGGTTTATAAGGTAAATGTTGAGCTGGATTAGCTTTTTAATAACTTGTATCCAGGCAGAAGCCGACACTGGCTGTCACTCTCTCGATCTGACTCACGGTGTTTCGCTGTGACCTGAGGCTCAGATAAAAGCCGTGATGCTGCCGTGTAAAACAATCCAGACTGATTCCCTCGTCATTCCATTCTCCACATGCCCGGCGTGGACCCTCACAGCTGTCGGAGGGGATTCAGAGCCCTCTTTAACCATGATGTCAGCCGCTCTGACTCCACTGTGGGATTAACAATGGGTCCATTTTAGGAGCATCGTTAGATCCCTCGGGTCACTGTATCCAGAATACCTCAATCAGTCACTCTGCTGAGGTGTTATGATGAAAAGACTGAATCATTATCCCTTTTATTGTTCATGAATACTTTCAAACTTCTACATAACATCATCAAAAAACAGGTAAAAGAAAATAACACTTAAGAAATTGTTGGTTCTGTGACTAAACCAGGTGTTGGTCAAGCTTTAGATAAGATTATGGTAAAGGATACTTAAAAAAATTACACCAGAAAATTTAGTTTTTTAGAGAATTATTCAATGAAACTGATGTTGTGGGCTTATAAAAACCACATCAACGACTTTTTCTCCTTTTGAACATCAGTTAAACACGTTCCCATCAGTATTTCATTGCCTCGTTTTATTCTCCAGGACTGAATGAATCCTGAATCACTATACCCCCTAAAAAAAATTCAGTAGCTGTTTTCACACATGCACTCCTGAAAATGTGTAGAAAATTTGAGGCCAGCTGCCTCTGAAATCTTCCTGTGTTGGTTGTTCACACATGCACCTCACAGCAGTGCACAGAGACCGACACTATGATGAGAATTTTTGCGTTCATGTGTAGTTCAACATATTGACAATTACAAGGAAAGCATGTAGAAGAAGACTTAGACTTAAGACTTTATTGTCCCCAAGGGGAAATTCTTTTCCACGGCACCATTACTGTCCAAATTGACAGTCCCACCAAAGAACATTCATACACAGAAAACAGAGTTTAACACAAACAGAGATAGACAAAAAGTCAAGAGTTTCCACTCTGGCCTGTTCAGCAAGGCCTTTTGTTTAGGGCCGAAAGTTAGGTTTCCCATATTGCCACCACCATCATTGGGCTTCAAAATTCCCCCTCAGTAACCAATGGATGACTTCACTGAAACAACGTCCATGTTCTATACAGCCTGTAGTATATCACAATGTCTCTGTGTCCTCAGGCTGAAGCCGAGGTGGCGTCTCTGAACAGACGCATCCAGCTGGTGGAGGAGGAGTTGGACCGAGCTCAGGAGAGACTGGCGACGGCTCTGCAGAAACTGGAGGAGGCGGAGAAAGCTGCAGATGAGAGTGAGAGGTGAAAATATAGAGAATGACCTGAGGGAAGGCTCACACAGGTGTACAGTACAGTACAGTACAGTACAGTAACTTTACTGAAAATCACAGTTTTACTGCCCTCTATGGTTCAAAGCATCAGACGTGTGTCATGTCAGAAATGTCCTCTGTTACACCTGACGGATGCACCCGTCAGTGATGTCATAGAGTCCTGCACCAGCTATGTCTAAGTTCATCGCCTAGTTTGATCATACATAAGGACCAGACTCAGAGAGAAACTAATCATAAAACTTATTTAGGATGGAGTTTACGCTCCACTAACAATTTAAGGTCGTGCACCAGCTGAGGCAGAACTCTCCATCAGCTCTCGCCTCCAAGAGGAACCGGCTCTATAAAAAGATGGGGAAGCATAAATCTGGAATATCAATATTTTAAATTTGTCGTTGGAACAAAGTGCTTCTCTCTCAATCTGCTGCTGCTTCGTAAAGCTTCTCATTTACATATTCTTTATAGAGAATGTGGAGGTTAAGTTTGAGACATTCCTTATTTAAAGCTAGATCAGTGAGCAGGTTTTTTATATACTTGAACTTCTCTAAGCTGAATATACGTACTTTGACTGTGTGTGTGTGTGTGTGTGTGTGTGTGTGTGTGTGTGTGTGTGTGTGTGTGTGTGTGTGTGTGTGTGTGTGTGTGTGTGTGTGTGTGTGTGCAGAGGGATGAAGGTAATTGAGAATCGTGCTCAAAAAGACGAGGAGAAGATGGAGCTTCAGGAGATTCAGCTGAAAGAAGCCAAACACATCGCAGAGGAGGCCGACCGCAAGTATGAGGAGGTCAGATCCTTTTTTTTTTTTACAAACTCCGCACTGCTGCAGAGAATTTACTATAAAACAGGCATGAAGTCTGTCATATAAGAGGCCGGATATCACCTGATACACGTAAATTATACTCGTGCAGGTGGCTCGTAAGCTGGTGATCGTAGAAGGAGAGTTGGAGCGCACAGAGGAGAGGGCGGAGCTGGCCGAGTCGATATTTT